AGCCTTTCCTCATCTCACTTGCACAAAAAAGATTAAATATTCCTCAAAATGAATAAAATCAGAATACCATGCAAACCTCCAAATAAAGCATATTTTTATGTATTTAATCTCACTTTATTGACCAATGCTTCTGACCTTCGCTGATTCGGTTAAACCAGATGCAGAAATACTATAGATTGTTTGTTTTAATTGGTAAGTAGCAGCCGCTGAAGGGTTAGTGTGAGCGGCGCCCTCTACTGTACAGGAGTAAACCTGCATTTCCTTATTATTTCACTTTTGGTGTGAAAGGGTCTTTACATTTGCGCAAACATTTTTTGTGAAAATCTTTTGTTTCAAACTTTTTTACTATAAAAAAAACAAGCCCACCCCAGATGAAAAAAGCAACGCAATACTTTTCTAAAAAATATAAAATAAAATACATTTCAGAAAAAAAAAATCTTAATCTTTTCCACTGGCCAAAGTTTTAATGGAAACAGATCGGCCCTATTGTGCATTATTGATCATTATTTGTATGTAAATATTTCCTCAGACGAGTTCTGCTATTATCAGCAATCCTCGCTGTAAAACATTAAAACACAGCATGCCTCAGGAAAAGTGTTCAAACGCAGCGCATCCACTACTCATATTTCTAATTATTAGAATATAATTATTTTTGTAACTTTTCTGTAGAGATTTGATGTAATTAAAGTACTTAACTCCATTAACGAGATTGGCATATTTAATCTAAATGTGTATATCAGATGTAAAACAGAGTTTAAATCATTCTGTTATTTATGTAAACAGTTATTATGAACATGCACTGTATTTCTGATTATGACTCATAATGAATATTAAAGTGGTTTTCATCATCAGTTCCTCAGATCTCAGATCATCATCGGTGTCGTTAAACTGGGTCAGAGTGTGTGCCGGTCATATTCTCACGTCAAGTGTGTTTTTATAAATCATACGGTCTGCGTGAGAAGTTCTCGAGATCTCCTGATAGAGTGATGTTCGGGTCTCAGCTGGATAATATCCTGAATGTTATAACCCAATCTGACCTCTGACCTGTAATGCTGCCTGAATCATAATCATAATCATACACTGCTGGTTCATTGGCCAGAGGAGAACTGAGCGACTCTGGTTTTCTCCATTCAGTCACTGATGGAGTTTACATTCAATATCCAGCAAGCAATATTATTGATCTCCTGCATTGACAGCATTATATGAGAACTGAACTGAGCTGGACGATGACATCACGGTTTCCTCCAGATTGGCTATATATATAAATGAATAACTTTTTTACAACAGAAATGAACCATCACTGAACTTACTGAAGCTGGACTGTGATGCTATTTTCTTCTAGACACAAACTCTTGCATTATTATCCTGTTATCTCTGTAAAGCTGCTTTGAAACTCTCTGTGATGTAAAAAGCGCTGTATAAATAAAGGTGACTTGAGTTGACAGGCTTCGGCTGGGATGTTGTCTAGGCCCGTCCCCTTGAGGCCACCAGTACCTCGTCTACAGGGCCCAGGCCCGGTCCAGAGACGGGGTGAGATCTGGGATTGAGCGTGTGTGTGTGGGAACTCTTCACTGGAGATCGAGTCGCACTACGGCTGGTGTGTGTCTGCAGGTTTGAGTCCTCGACGTTCATCTCCGGTTGGTCATCCGGGTCACTGTAGTGCTTGGCCTCGGCTGTTGCTACTGCCCGCCTCTCCACTGACGGAGACTCTTGTCCTGCCAGTGTTTGGGTAGTTTTTTGTGTTGCCCAGCTACTGGGTCAGACGTAACAACCCAGTGTTTGGATAGTTTTTGTGTCGCCCAGAAGCTGGGTCAGACGTAACAGCCCAGTGTTTGGGTAGTTTTTGTGTTACCCAGAACCTGGGTCAGATGTAACAACCCAGTGTTTGGGTAATTTTTGTGTCGCCCAGAACCTGGGTCAGACGTAACAACCCAGTGTTTGGGTAGTTTTTGTGTTACCCAGAACCTGGGTCAGACGTAACAACCCAGTGTTTGGGTAATTTTTGTGTCGCCCAGAACCTGGGTCAGACGTAACAACCCAGTGTTTGGGTAGTTTTTGTGTAACACAGATCCTAGGTCAGACGTAACAACCCAGTGTTTGGGTAGTTTTTGTGTCGCCCAGAAGCTGGGTCAGACGTAACAACCCAGTGTTTGGGTAGTTTTTGTGTTACCCAGAACCTGGGTCAGACGTAACAACCCAGTGTTTGGGTAGTTTTTGTGTCGCCCGGCTCCTGGGTCAGACGTAACAACCCAGAGATTGAGTTAATTATCGCAGGCTTTTTGCAACCTCTTCAGGAGATAGCAGTGCAGCTCCGTCTAATATACCGTGTCTTCGGTATAATACAGGTTTGTGTACATTTTATTTTATCTACAACGCCAAATCAGAAAAAGTTGGGACATTTAGTAAAATGCAATAAAATCAAGAATCTGTTATTTGTTCATTCTTTTTAACCTTTTTTCAACTGACAAAAGCACAAAGAAAAGTTTTCCAATGTTTTCACTGACCAACATAATTGTATTTTGTAAATATGAACAAATTTTGATATTGATGGCTGCAACACACCCCCAAAAAGTTGGGACAGAGACATGTTTACCACTGTGTCACATCACCTTTCCTTTTAATTACACTTTTTAGTCATTTGGGAGTTGAGGATACTAATTGTTGGAGTTTTGCTCGTGGGATATTTGCCCAATCTTGTCTGATACAAGACAGCCGCTCAACAGTCTGTGGTCATCATTGCCTGATTCTCCTTTTCATGATGGGTCATACATTTTCCATAAGAGATATATCTGGACTGCAGTAAACAGGCAGGCACATCCCTTCTATGGTGCAGAGTGTCTAGAAACCACTCAGTTGTAGCACGTGCAGAATGAGGCCTGGCATTGTCTTGCTTCCCAGGAAAGATGTCATCTTGATGGCAGTTTATGTCTCTGTACAATCCAAATATATGCCTCCATGTCAATGGTACCTTCACAATAATGCAAGTTACCCATACCGTTTGCAATGATGCACCTCGATACCAGGACAGATGTTTGCTTTTGCACCTGTCGCTGTTGAAAGTATGGTTGGTCCCTTTCGTCTTTGGGACTGAGAACTCGATTCCATTTTCTCCCAAAAACAAGCTGAAACATGGATTCATCTGACCACAGCAGACATTTCCACTTTCTTCTAGACCATCTGAGATGAGCTCAGGCCCAGAGAACTCGCCGGCATCTCCACATAGAACTGATGTAAAGCTTTCTCCAGAGATTCAAGTGGCATTTCTTGATGCAGCGTCAGACTGTGTTCAGTGAAAATGGTTTTCCAAATTACTCCTGAGCACATCTGGCTGTATTTAACAGATTAGCATGATGGTATCTTGTGCAATGCCATCTGAGGGCTCAAAGGTCACGCACATTCAACAGGTCTACTGCCTTACCCAAAACAGACTGAGATTTCTCTGGATTCCCTCGATCTTGTGACAATATTATGTATGGAAGATGATGAAAGGCATAAATGCTTTGCAATCTTGCATTGAGAAATGTGATTTTTTTAATTGTTTGACAATTCTCTCAAGATATTTGGCACAAAGTGATGAGCCATGACCCATCTTTGCTTAAAAAGACTGAGAAGCACTTTTACACCCAAACACCAGTGTCGCGTCGGTCTTTCCTCGTGATGGAAACGCCTGATTCCTTGCATAACATTTTATGAATTGATTCAAAAAAATATACAGAATATAAATGCTTAGAGAGTTCAAATGTGTTCTCAGAACTGAACACTGATTGTTTACGGACAGGTTATGGAGTCACAGTATATCTGAGTTCCTCCGCTGAACACGGCACGAGCTCCGGCACAAGATCCAGTGCATTACAGTGGAAACGCCACAACAGAGACTGGGCCATTACACTTCAATTACTTCTAAAAGTGTAATTTTTACTTCTAATATTTCTTAAACGAGCTTAAATGTGTGCAATATATATAAAATATACTATACTGTAAAATATGATTGGAAATAAAGGAATTATCATGCAAACCAGTGGTTGTATCGAGTATTTTTTAAAAGGTTAGAGGATTTAAGTAAATCCATAGACATTAATTCATGTATGAAGTAAAAGAGGAAGAAGCTAGTATTATAGTGAAAATGAATCAACTATGTTGGGTTAAATAAACAACCCAATTTGCTGGGTAAAATGAACCCAACATGTGTTCTGTCCTATATTTTCCCAGCCCTTGTGTTGAAAACAACCTAAATTGGGTTGTTTTTTAGATTCTGTTATCTCGGGATACAATCTGATTTAATGAAGATATCCACCTTATTTTCTGAGTAAATTTAATGTGTCTGGCTTCCCATGTCATCCGCTTCATTTTTAGCTGTACATAAAAGCTTTATTATGCTTCTTGATATTGTAAACTGTTTTATCTTTCCCTGTTATTTTAATTTAGTGGCTTAATTATAAACACTTCTAGTGCGAACCGTTTTACCATTTACTGCACTTTGTTGTTATTCTCGTTTTTACAGCGGCTAATGAATCGGAGGTCTCGCACATGGAAAAATAAGCTGGAAACAAGCAGAAAAGATCAAATTAAGTCTTAGTTATGAGATGAAAAGTCGAAATTAAGAGAAAAGTCATAATTATTATGACAAAGAAAGTCAATTTCTACTTTAATTTTATAATTATGTTTTAGTATGTCACAACTATTACTTGGTAACTTTGACTTTTCAGCTCATAAATGACTGTCATAATGTACTTCATGTTATGATTGCGACTTTTTAAATCATTATTACATTACGGGCTTCTTCCACAGAAGTCCTGCTGATCTGAAGGAAAACTGTCAATAAAAGTTCAATCTCTTGAAACGAGTGCAGTTTTATCTCTCACCACTAGATCGGAAAAACACTCCTGTCGAAAACATGTTTCACCTTTACTTATGAGTGATTTCACGATTATCTCTAATAGTAATAGTGACTTTAACACCGTGAGTATAATCAGAAAATAAACCCGCATGGTATGATCTGTCATAGCTGGCGTGCCGGAAGTTGTCCAGTGTAGCCGCACGTCATATCCGTGCGACGAGCGCGCTCACCGTTGAGCTCACGGAGGATTGAACATCTGAACCACAAACATGGTAAAATAAATATTCCTCTTCAGCTAAAGTCTTTCTCATGATCACTCGTGTATTAGAACAGAGAGTAGCTTTCCTAATCAACATGAAAGCATCGGGACTTTATCCTTCACCGCTGACCAAAGACTTAAAAACACATTCTTCAGATTATTTAGGCTTATTAATATATAATTCATACATATACACATACATAGTATGTTGTGATATATTGAAGCTAGTTGTTTAAATGAATCTTCAACTTATTATATCTGACAAAGAGCTGCATTTGTATATGATTATATTATGAATATGTAAGAAATTAAGATTGCTGTTTTTTATTTCCAGGCTCGAAACGCAGAAAAGGCCATGTGAGTGTGTGTCTTCTGTCTCATAATGTCCTGTTAATGCTTTTCTTCATCACTGTATTCAGAGAAACATAGTTCACCAACTGAATGCTCATCTATATGTTATTATATTTACCTAATGTGTAGAAATACTTTTAATATTATTCCTCTATCACAACACCAACTCTCAAATTCAGTGAGTTTATTATTTTTGGAAAGAAATATATAATAAGTGCAAATTCTTAGAATCATCTACTGTGTTTTTTCTTTTTTTTGTAGATTATAATTATTATGTTATTTCTTTGTTGGGCTCAACTAAAAAAAACGGTAATCTTTGAAATGTCAAAAATACTCCTATTGTTTAACTCAATTTTTATTTTATATATATTTAATAATTTCTTTATTGTTTTATACTCGTTGATACAATTTCGTGTAAATTGTTTTTGGCACAAATTAAGGTATTTTATATATATATATATATATATATATATATGATCATCTCTCATAGCATAATTTTTCATGAGAAATATTACATTGATATTGAGTGATTTGAGTGTTTCAAAAGTAAAATAACTGTATAAACAGAAGAAAAATGTAGAAGAAAGCTGAATGTTTTCACAAAAATCAATGTTCATTTTATAAATTAAGTTGCACTACTCTAAAACTTAATATAAAACTCGGTAAGAGGGGCAACAGACTTTTTAATATTTAAAGAAGCTTATATACTGTATTCAAAAGGTCAGTAAGAATTAATGAAAGTATTAATTTCTTCTTTTTTTTAATGAATGACGCATTAAATAGATCAAAAGTGACAGTAAAGACATTTATAATGTGATTAAAGATTCTATTTCAATTAAATGCTGTTCTTTTGAACTTTATATTCATCAAAGAATCCTGAAAATAAAGTGTATCAGTTTCCACTAAAATACAAACTGTTTTCAACACTGATAATAATCATAAATGTTTCTTGAGCATCAGATCATCATATTAGAGTGATTTCGGAAGGATCATGTGACACTGAAGACTGGAGTTATGATGCTGAAAATTCAGCTTTGATCAGAGGAATAAATTACACTTTACTGTATATTCACATAGAAAACAGCTGATTTACACTGGAATAATATTCACTGTATTTACTGTATTTTTGATCAAATAAATTCTGCTTTGGTGAGCAGAAGAGACTTTCACATACATAAATATAAATGTGTGTGTGTGTGTTATGCAGGACGGCTCTGGCCAGGTTTCGTCAGGCGCAGCTGGAAGAGGGAAAAGTGAAGGTGGGTTTAATCTCAATCCTGATTTGACGAACGTTAATGCTTGTGTTCTCCTGGTCATGTGACGTGTTCTCCTGATCATGTGACGTGTTCTGATCATGTGACGTGTTCTCCTGATCATGTGACGTGTTCTCCTGATCATGTGACGTGTTCACAGGAGAGAAGACCTTTCCTGGCGTCGGAGTGTAATGAGTTGCCCAAAGCCGAGAAGTGGAGGAGACAGGTCAGGAGCCACACATCCGTCTCAGACACGTGTGCTGTGCCTACAGGGAGAGAGTTCACCCAAACTCTCCCTGTAACAGCTGAGCTAAATGTGTGTGTTCTCATCCGTTGCAGATCATCAGTGAGATTTCCAAGAAGGTTGCACAGATTCAGAACGGTGAGAGCGAGAGCAAGTGAGATGAGAGAGAGCGAGAGATTTGTGTGTGTGAGACGAGTGTGTGTGTGTGTGTGTGAGACGAGAGCGAGCGAGGTGTGTGTGTGTGTGTGTGAGACGAGACGAGAGCAAGCGAGGGGTGTGTGTGTGAGAGAGAGTCGAGAGCGAGGGGTGTGTGTGTGTGTGAGACGAGAGCGAGGTGTGTGTGTGTGTGTGTGTGTGTGTGTGTGTGTGTGAGACGAGAGCGAGGTGTGTGTGTGTGTGTGAGACGAGAGCGAGGTGTGTGTGAGACGAGAGCGAGGTGTGTGTGTGTGTGTGTGTGTGAGACGAGAGCGAGCGAGGTGTGTGTGTGTGAGACGAGAGCGAGCGAGGTGTGTGTGTGTGAGACGAGAGCGAGCGAGGTGTGTGTGTGTGAGACGAGAGCGAGCGAGGTGTGTGTGTGTGAGACGAGAGCGAGCGAGGTGTGTGTGTGTGAGACGAGAGCGAGCGAGGTGTGTGTGTGTGAGACGAGAGCGAGCGAGGTGTGTGTGAGACGAGAGCGAGCGAGGTGTGTGTGTGTGAGACGAGAGCGAGGTGTGTGTGTGTGTGTGTGTGTGTGAGACGAAAGCGAGCGAGGTGTGTGTGTGAGACGAGAGCGAGCGAGGTGTGTGTGTGTGAGACGAGAGCGAGCGAGGTGTGTGTGTGAGACGAAAGCGAGCGAGGTGTGTGTGTGAGACGAGAGCGAGCGAGGTGTGTGTGTGAGACGAGAGCGAGCGAGGTGTGTGTGTGTGAGACGAGAGCGAGCGAGGTGTGTGTGTGTGAGACGAGAGCGAGCGAGGTGTGTGTGTGTGAGACGAGAGCGAGCGAGGTGTGTGAGACGAGAGCGAGCGAGGTGTGTGAGACGAGAGCGAGCGAGGTGTGTGAGACGAGAGCGAGCGAGGTGTGTGAGACGAGAGCGAGCGAGGTGTGTGAGACGAGAGCGAGCGAGGTGTGTGAGACGAGAGCGAGCGAGGTGTGTGAGACGAGAGCGAGCGAGGTGTGTGAGACGAGAGCGAGCGAGGTGTGTGAGACGAGAGCGAGCGAGGTGTGTGAGACGAGAGCGAGCGAGGTGTGTGAGACGAGAGCGAGCGAGGTGTGTGAGACGAGAGCGAGCGAGGTGTGTGAGACGAGAGCGAGCGAGGTGTGTGAGACGAGAGCGAGCGAGGTGTGTGAGACGAGAGCGAGCGAGGTGTGTGAGACGAGAGCGAGCGAGGTGTGTGAGACGAGAGCGAGCGAGGTGTGTGAGACGAGAGCGAGCGAGGTGTGTGAGACGAGAGCGAGCGAGGTGTGTGAGACGAGAGCGAGCGAGGTGTGTGAGACGAGAGCGAGCGAGGTGTGTGAGACGAGAGCGAGCGAGGTGTGTGAGACGAGAGCGAGCGAGGTGTGTGTGTGTGAGACGAGAGCGAGCGAGGTGTGTGTGTGTGAGACGAGAGCGAGCGAGGTGTGTGTGTGTGAGACGAGAGCGAGCGAGGTGTGTGTGTGTGAGACGAGAGCGAGCGAGGTGTGTGTGTGTGAGACGAGAGCGAGCGAGGTGTGTGTGTGTGAGACGAGAGCGAGCGAGGTGTGTGTGTGAGACGAGAGCGAGCGAGGTGTGTGTGTGAGACGAGAGCGAGCGAGGTGTGTGTGTGAGACGAGAGCGAGCGAGGTGTGTGTGTGAGAGGAGAGCGAGCGAGGTGTGTGTGTGAGACGAGAGCGAGCGAGGTGTGTGTGTGAGACGAGAGCGAGCGAGGTGTGTGTGTGAGACGAGAGCGAGCGAGGTGTGTGTGTGAGACGAGAGCGAGCGAGGTGTGTGTGTGAGACGAGAGCGAGCGAGGTGTGTGTGAGACGAGAGCGAGCGAGGTGTGTGTGAGACGAGAGCGAGCGAGGTGTGTGAGACGAGAGCGAGCGAGGTGTGTGTGTGTGAGACGAGAGCGAGCGAGGTGTGTGTGTGTGAGACGAGAGCGAGCGAGGTGTGTGTGTGTGAGACGAGAGCGAGCGAGGTGTGTGTGTGTGAGACGAGAGCGAGCGAGGTGTGTGAGACGAGAGCGAGCGAGGTGTGTGTGTGTGAGACGAGAGCGAGCGAGGTGTGTGTGTGTGAGACGAGAGCGAGCGAGGTGTGTGTGTGTGAGACGAGAGCGAGCGAGGTGTGTGTGTGTGAGACGAGAGCGAGCGAGGTGTGTGTGTGTGAGACGAGAGCGAGCGAGGTGTGTGTGTGTGAGACGAGAGCGAGCGAGGTGTGTGTGTGTGAGACGAGAGCGAGCGAGGTGTGTGTGTGTGAGACGAGAGCGAGCGAGGTGTGTGTGTGAGACGAGAGCGAGCGAGGTGTGTGTGTGAGACGAGAGCGAGCGAGGTGTGTGTGTGAGAGGAGAGCGAGCGAGGTGTGTGTGTGAGACGAGAGCGAGCGAGGTGTGTGTGTGAGACGAGAGCGAGCGAGGTGTGTGTGTGAGACGAGAGCGAGCGAGGTGTGTGTGTGAGACGAGAGCGAGCGAGGTGTGTGTGTGAGACGAGAGCGAGCGAGGTGTGTGTGAGACGAGAGCGAGCGAGGTGTGTGAGACGAGAGCGAGCGAGGTGTGTGTGTGTGAGACGAGAGCGAGCGAGGTGTGTGTGTGTGAGACGAGAGCGAGCGAGGTGTGTGTGTGAGACGAGAGCGAGCGAGGTGTGTGTGTGAGACGAGAGCGAGCGAGGTGTGTGTGAGACGAGAGCGAGCGAGGTGTGTGTGAGACGAGAGCGAGCGAGGTGTGTGTGAGACGAGAGCGAGCGAGGTGTGTGAGACGAGAGCGAGCGAGGTGTGTGAGACGAGAGCGAGCGAGGTGTGTGTGTGTGAGACGAGAGCGAGCGAGGTGTGTGTGTGTGAGACGAGAGCGAGCGAGGTGTGTGTGTGAGACGAGAGCGAGCGAGGTGTGTGTGTGAGACGAGAGCGAGCGAGGTGTGTGTGAGACGAGAGCGAGCGAGGTGTGTGTGTGAGACGAGAGCGAGCGAGGTGTGTGTGTGAGACGAGAGCGAGCGAGGTGTGTGTGTGAGACGAGAGCGAGCGAGGTGTGTGTGTGAGAGGAGAGCGAGCGAGGTGTGTGTGTGAGACGAGAGCGAGCGAGGTGTGTGTGTGAGACGAGAGCGAGCGAGGTGTGTGTGTGTGAGACGAGAGCGAGCGAGGTGTGTGTGTGTGAGACGAGAGCGAGCGAGGTGTGTGTGAGACGAGAGCGAGCGAGGTGTGTGTGTGTGAGACGAGAGCGAGCGAGGTGTGTGTGTGTGAGACGAGAGCGAGCGAGGTGTGTGTGTGTGTGAGACGAGAGCGAGCGAGGTGTGTGTGTGTGTGAGACGAGAGCGAGCGAGGTGTGTGTGTGAGACGAGAGCGAGCGAGGTGTGTGTGTGAGACGAGAGCGAGCGAGGTGTGTGTGTGAGACGAGAGCGAGCGAGGTGTGTGTGTGAGACGAGAGCGAGCGAGGTGTGTGTGTGAGACGAGAGCGAGCGAGGTGTGTGTGTGAGACGAGAGCGAGCGAGGTGTGTGTGTGAGACGAGAGCGAGCGAGGTGTGTGTGTGAGAGGAGAGCGAGCGAGGTGTGTGTGTGAGACGAGAGCGAGCGAGGTGTGTGTGTGAGACGAGAGCGAGCGAGGTGTGTGTGTGTGAGACGAGAGCGAGCGAGGTGTGTGTGTGTGAGACGAGAGCGAGCGAGGTGTGTGTGTGTGAGACGAGAGCGAGCGAGGTGTGTGTGTGTGAGACGAGAGCGAGCGAGGTGTGTGTGTGTGAGACGAGAGCGAGCGAGGTGTGTGTGTGTGAGACGAGAGCGAGCGAGGTGTGTGTGTGTGTGAGACGAGAGCGAGCGAGGTGTGTGTGTGTGTGAGACGAGAGCGAGGTGTGTGTGTGTGTGTGTGAGACGAGAGCGAGGTGTGTGTGTAAGACGAGAGCGAGCGAGGTGTGAGAAGAGATCGAGCGAGGTGTGTGTGTGTGGGACGAGAGCGAGCGAGGGGTGTGTGTGTGTGAGAGAGTCGAGAGCGAGGTGTGTGTGTGTGAGACGAGAGCGAGCGAGGTGTGTGTGTGAGACGAGAGCGAGCGAGGTGTGTGTGTGAGACGAGAGCGAGCGAGGTGTGTGTGTGAGACGAGAGCGAGAGAGGGGTGTGTGTGTGTGAGAGAGTCGAGAGCAAGGTGTGTGTGTGTGAGACGAGAGCGAGCGAGGTGTGTGAGACGAAAGCGAGCGAGGCGTGTGTGTGAGACTAGAGCGAGCGAGGCGTGTGTGTGAGAGGAGAGCGAGCGAGGTGTGTGTGTGTGTGTCTGTGTGTGAGACGAGAGCGAGCGAGGTGTGTGTGAGACGAGAGCGAGCGAGGTGTGTGTGTGAGACGAGAGCGAGCGAGGTGTGTGTGTGTGTGAGACGAGAGCAAGCGAGGGGTTTGTGTGTGTGAGAGAGACGAGAGCGAGGTGTGTGTGTGTGTGTGTGAGAGAGACGAGAGCGAGGTGTGTGTGTGAGATGAGAGCGAGGTGTGTGTGTGTGTGTGTGAGACGAGAGCGAGGTGTGTGTGTGTGAGACGAGAGCGAGGTGTGTGTGTGTGTGTGAGACGAGAGCGAGGTGTGTGTGTGTGAGACGAGAGCAAGGTGTGTGTGTGTGTGTGTGAGACGAGAGCGAGCGAGGTGTGTGTGAGACGAGAGCGAGCGAGGTGTGTGTGTGTGTGTGTGTGTGTGTGTGAGACGAGAGCGAGCGAGGTGTGTGTGTGTGTGAGACGAGAGCGAGCGAGGTGTGTGTGTGTGTGTGTGTGTGTGTGTGTGTGTGTGTGTGTGTGTGTGTGTGTGAGACGAGAGCGAGCGAGGGGGGTGTGTGTGTGTGAGAGAGTCGAGAGCGAGGTGTGTGTGTGTGAGACGAGAGCGAGGTGTGTGTGTGTGAGACGAGAGCGAGGTGTGTGTGTGAGAGAGTCGAGAGCGAGGTGTGTGTGAGATCAGAGCGAGGTGTGTGTGTGTGCGTGTGAGACGAGACCGATGTGTGTGTGAGTGAGTTGAGAGCCAGGTTCTCCTGTGTTCTACTAACTGAGATGGTCTTCCTCAGCCGGTCTGGGCGAGTTTAAGATCCGCGACCTCAACGATGAGATCAACAAACTGCTGCGAGAGAAAGGCCACTGGGAAGTGCGGATCAAGGAGCTCGGCGGACCGGACTACCGGGTGAGAGTCAGTGATGATGCGTTTCCTGCTGATGGAGACGTATGCGATGATGCGCTTGAGTCTCAGCAAACGCATCGAGACGGTCACATGTCATACATCTGCAAGCAGGGCTGTCGCATTGAAGGAATTTCATTTATTTATTTTTAATTTTTTTATATTATTTGTTGCTATATAAATAAGTGTGACAGGTGTGGTCAGCATGCACAAAAACGAGGACATGTTCAGTAACCAATGTAACCGAAACTAAACAGGAAGTGAAGTAAACTCAAGAGAATGTCAAAATAAGTGTCGGCGTAACAGAACATAAACCGGACAGTAAGCTCGTTGGGATATTTTTATATGTATAACAGTAATTTCCGATCCTCGAATCTGATTGGACGAGAGGCTTTCTGCTGATATTTCCCCAGTGTCGTCATCGTCGTCTGCACAGAGACAGCCGTCACTCAGAGCAGTTACACTGTCACTGTCAGGGGCGGCAACGGCCTGTCTATGAGTGAGTCATTAAAGACGAGAGCGAGCGAGGTGTGTGTGTGTGTGTGTGTGTGTGTGTGTGTGTGTGTGTGTGTGTGTGTGTGTGTGTGTGTGTGTGTGTGTGTGTGTGTGTGTGTGTGTGTGTGTGTGTGTGTGTGTGTGAGACGAGAGCGAAGTCACTCAGCGCAGTTACACTGTCACTCCACTAGGGTGGCAACGGCCTGTCTATAAGTGAGTCATTAAACCGTTCATTCAACGAACGCGTTCAAAAACGCTGATTCATTAAAAGATAGATGCAATGAAACAAGCAGTTAATTATTTTTAAAGCTGGAGTCCGCAGTTTTTCCTCTTTGTCGCCATCTCTGTTCGAAATCTGCAATTGCAGTCATTTGCGTAATTATCAACTTTACGCGAGTTGTACTTCAACACCCTCAACACGGCACAGCGCGGATGAACACAATGTTTGAGGAGAGTGTGCAGCTGTCAGTCACCGCGCCGGTGTTTTACTGGCATTCAGAATCACAGATTATTCTTTTTGGAAGTATGACCAACATAAGAATTTTCACTGGAAAATGTCATCTGAACTAGTAAGAAACACCCACCTTTGTTCTGGTTCTGACATTGCAGTAAATCGAGCTGATTAAATCTAACAATCGCTTATAAGTTATCATATCACGCAAAACCGTGCAAATTATAGGCTACTTTGTTCTCAACTTGTTAATGTTAACAACGTCCGCATTGCGTGACTACATGTAATGTCCTTCCGATATTATCCTTGTTTTCGCATGGGTCTGGTTGCAGTCTCTTCTTTCTGTAGCCGCTCCGAAGTCCGAACGAAGTCTTTTGCATTTTACAGAATCTGTTGTCACTGTTGATTGACTGTCGTTTGAACCTTTCTGGATCTGCCATCAAATTATTAAGTTTAATTATATCAAGTGCTGTGAGAAAAGGCTATAAATATATATATGAGTTATATATGTTCCCGAACACCAGCATCCGAACGCCAGAGAACACGACAGCGTTTACGGTTTCGTCTGAGGCTCGACACACACTCGTTTATGATGGAGGAGAACAGCCGATTGCAGAAACTTAGTTTATTACTGATATTTTGAGCCAATTTCCAAAAGGAAAAAGAGCCCGATTGCAGTGTTATCACTGATATGTTGTTGACATGAGTGTGTGTGTGTGTGTGTAACAGAGAGTGGGGCCGAGGATGCTGGATCACGAGGGTAAAGAGGTTCCGGGAAACAGAGGATACAAGTATTTCGGCGCCGCTAAAGACTTGCCTGGAGTCCGAGAGCTGTTCGAGAGCGAGCGTAAGTCTCAGTACTCATGCAGATCTACACACTGCACACACACACGAGCTGAGAGTATAAACACACCTGACGGGAGAGTGTGTGTGTGTGAGTAACTCTGATCCTGCATACGAACACCAGAGACGGAGACGTCTAATGACACCGATGACGATCTGAGGAACTGATAAGGGGAAAACCACTTTAATGTTCATTATGAGCCATAATCAGAAATACAGTGCATGTTCATAATAACTGTTTACATAAATAACAGAATGATTTAAACTCTGTTTTACATCTGATATACACATTTAGATTAAATATGCCATTCTCATTAATGGAGTTAAGCACTTCAATTAAATCAAATCTCTACAGAGAATTTACAAAAAAAATTATATTCTAATAAATAGAAATATTAGTAGTGGATGCGCTGCGTTTCAACACTTTTCCTGAGCCATGCTGTGTTTTAATGTTTGCTTAGCGCGTGATAACAGCAGAACTAGTCTTGAGGAAATATTTACACGCAAATAATAATAAATAATGCTCAAGGTCTTTCTATTTCCATTAAAAATATAAAGCCATTAAAAACACTATTAGGCCAGTGGAAAAGATTGAGAAAACTTTCTCTGAAATGTATTTTATACTATTTGATTTATTGTTCAAAAACAAGGCATGGATCGGCTGCTAAATGATTTTTAGCACATCATGTGACGCACATCTCATATTCTCCTAATGTCTCGTACCGTTAAACATGGTGTCACGTGGATGAATATGCATATGCAGATGATATATGCAGATGAGGATCCTGCGCGCAGCTTTATAACAAGACCCCTGATGATGAACGGCTGGTTCTATCAGTACTCGAGTGTGTGCAGGGACGGACTGGGACTAAAAAACGGCCCTGGACTTTGACTAGGCCCGGCCCAAAGCAATCGGTGCGCGGAAACTCGACAACAACAACAATAACGCCTGCCATGAGTGTCACTTTAACTGTGGCTCATGATAGCCTACTATACCATCCAAATTATAGCTAACAGCATATTATACAATTTATTCCATGCTGTCTTAAAATTAATTTATTACTTAATAATCTTAATTAGTTTATGCAGTAATTAATCTTAGCTACTGCACAAATAATAATACCACATCTAAATGAAAATTAACACTAAAGGTGATTAACATCTAAACACCATTACAAATGTAACTTCTGTATTCAAAATCTTCAAAGTTTGTAAGCATTAACTGTAACATTACCAACATTTTTAAAAGTAAAAGCACAACATATTTCTTAATATTAGCAACTGCATGTGGCATTTTACAGCTAAAATGTTGAAGTTTAGCTGTTTTATCTACTGTAATCATTAAAAATGTAGCAAGCTGAATATCACTTCCTAACATCATCCCTAGCAAGTAACTTGCAAAGTAATTTCTGATTAATTCGGTTCGGGAGTAGTAGAGATAAAAGCCCGCCCGCACTGACAATTGATTGGTTGGGTCCTTACATGCGCTTCGTGAGGGACACGCGCACACTAGCACACACGCGCACACTAGCGCACACTAGCACACACACGCAATCTCTCGCTCCCTCTCTCTCTGCCGTGCACGCGCTACGCATGCGCGCTCTTGCTCGCTCTAGATTCCGGGAGATTTTAACTAATTTGCGGACATCAGGGAGCCGCTATCAATATGCTGGAGACTTGGGATGTGTGTGGCGGCTGGTGGGCCGGCCCGCCGGCCGTCCTGGAGTACCGGCCGTTCTGTGATTCTCCAGATCACACAGATGGCCAGTCCGCCCCTGAGTGTGTGTGGTTCAAATGTTGTGGCGGAGAGATGACTGATGTGTTTGATGACCTCAGCATGTGTTCTGTGAATATGAATATGAATATCTTTGGTCTGTTCCAGCCGTTCCGCCGCCCAGGAAAACCCGTGCGGAGCTCATGAAGGACATCGACGCCGAGTATTATGGGTATAGAGATGAAGACGATGGTGTGTTAGTGCCGCTGGAACAGGAGTATGAGAAGCAAGGTGAGGCGAGGAGGTCCCACTGAACACTGCAGATACACAGTATATCCGTCACTGTTTCTACACTTCATGTTTGCGTTGAATTATGGGAATCTGATTAGAAGCTGATAATGTTTTCTGATTTAAAGAAATCATTCGGTCAAAAAATATAAACTCGTATGCATTTAGCAGACCATTTTATCAAAAAGTTACTTCGAGGACTTATTATGCTCTTCCTCAAAGTCGTGATGTAGTTTCAGGCTCTACTAGAACAGGTTTTCCTGCTTGAATGTTGATTATTTTCCTCATATTCTCCATTGTTGCGGCTCCTCTCTTCCCAGTCTGTCAGTAACGCTCTGTTTACTTCCTGTCTCTATAAAGCCCCTCCTTCTGAAAAGCACACTGTGCTCTGATTGGTCGGCTGGAGCAGTGTGTTGTGATTGGTCGAGCGCTTTGAGTGTGTTTGGGAAAGTCCCTTTCCATAACCACCAGTTTAACACACTACTAACTAACTCAACCAGGCCCCGCCCCTTTATTCTGCGTATGAATTATTATAATGAGGAATATTGTGGCGTGTTCGTTCCCGGAAGAAACTCAAGACTACAATGGAGGCGTTTCAGGAGTTCAGGAACACTGACACTGATATAGAGAATAACTGGAGCTTGTTCATGATCAAACAGCAACGTTACACACTAAACACAGATGAAGAAAAGCAGAACCGGTCGTCTTTAAAGAAGAAGCAGTTTAGCAGACAACAACGTTTATTTATGTCTTGTCATCTTATTTTAAGTTGTTACTTGTTGAGTCCATGTGAAGGCCGAGTCCAAGTTACCCGACTTCAGTGTTAGAGTGTCAAAGTCAACGTGTAAATCTGAGATTTATTATGTGTTTATCTGATTTAACAGTCCAAAAACATGGAACTAATAGTTTTAATCATCATAACCCACTTGTTCTGTTTTGTGTGATTTAATTTTAACAAGCTCATGTGTCTCTCATATGCAACGGTGTAACTTACATTTTTATTGTAGTTTTATTATTTCAAATAAGTTTTTAAATTCTAGTTTTCATGTTCATTTTAGTTTAATTTTTAGTCATTTTATAATATGCTATTGTCATTTTATTACTTTTTTCTTTTAAAATGTTGCTATTTAGGTTTACTTTATTTTTATTTGAGTTTTATTTATTTCCAGTTAATAATTTTAGTTTTTACAACTTAAACTTATTTCGGTCAAGGCAGCATTTCTGATACTCTTTTAAAGCTTTTCAGCAAATAATTAAATATCTGTAAAATATGAATGAAAAGAAATTCTTTTAATAGTTGTAGTTAACGATAATAACCCTGATATCAGTATATGATAGAAAAGGCCTCTTTATGAGTTGCTTATTTGTAAATCAAAGCTTAATGATGATGCATGTAATGAAAGGAGAGTCATAATTAATGATCTGCAGTGAATTACTGCATCTTTATACATAGATTGTGAGGACAGCTGTTTTATTATTGAATTATTATTATTTATTAGTATCAGCGCTTCAGACTGTGTGTTGTAGATGAGCCGAGCAGCACGAGACCCACTTCGTCCAGGCGTGTGTGTGTGTGCCTGTGTGTGTGCCTGTGTGTGTGTGTGCTCTGCGACAGTCGTGGCATTGTGTGCTGATATCATTTTCTGACATGTGTTTCTCGTTTGTGTGTTTAACTGAATGCCTGACGTGTGGCTGCAGGTTTGATGCGACTCATGAGAAGCGTAACGCGCACCGGACTGTCCAGTGACCTGAAGTCACATGACCACCGCATTCCAGCTCGACCTCGGGGCTGATTAAGATTAATGCATTGTTCACGTCCGCGTTGTTTCAGATGCGTTCGAAGCAGCTTCACAGGACATCAATAATGCAAACAGAATTCAGTTAAACACAATGTGTAAAGGGGTGGTATAATGCCCTTTTCACAAGATGTAAAATAAGTCTCTGATGTCCCCAGAGTGTGTGTGTGAAGTTTAGCTCAAAATACCCCACAGATATTTTTATAGCATGTTCGAGTTGTCACTTTTTGAGGCTGAGCAAAAACGCACCTTTTTGTGTCTGTGAGCTGCCAAATGAGCTGCTGCTCCCGGCACAGTGGGCGGAGCTTCAACCGCTCCTGTCCTTTTATCTCACACACACACAGACACACACATGCACTGAACATTTCAAAAACTTTTCGCCTTTTATGTTCAAACCGGAGTCAGACAGAGATGGAGAGACTCTAGCAGTGATGACATGTAGAAGCAACAGGACATTTCTGAGTGTTAGTTGATGAGTGTATGCCGCTGATGTGGAGTTAACCATCTTCTAGTCATTGATTAGCATATTCTGTCATGATCATCTATAAATCTTGTTCCGGGGGCGGGGTTTATGTAAGATTTATGGTTTGTGATGTCACTAACCCGGGAGGAAGCTCGTGTAGTTCCTACCAGCCGTTTGTTGTAGTCCTTAAAACGCGAATTATTTAAAAGTAAATCTCTCCCTTTGCTTTGGATTTGAGCGTTGTAACTTTGCAGATGTTGTTTATGTTCAAACAGCAACATTACACACTGACTACAGTTAGAAAAGGGAAATCATAATCAACCACCCTTTTAAATGTAAATCCTGTGTGTTTCCGTCCCGCAGTCATAGCCGAATACTGCTTATCGATTACGATTCTTATCGATTCCAATAAGGTAAAAAAAAAAACTTTAATTGTAGCTGAATATCATGAACAAACATCATCAGGCTAAAGAACGCTTACGCAAGGAGCGCTTGCCTGTGGTTTAAAAACACCATAGAAGAACAATGAGCCGAACTAATATACACTTCCAGCATTATTAAAGACAAGTAAATGCTCAGTAGTTAAAAAACAACAAATAAAATAGCAATCGCGACAACTAGAAACAACTGAACAAAGATATTCAGGTGTTCAGGTACAGAAATCGTAATCAAATGTACAATAACACTGCACTTTATAAATAAAATATACATTAGAAATATAGTAACAAAAGTTAGTCAGTCAAGAACGAGTGAATTTTCTCTCTGTCTTCTGGAGTTTGATTAGTGTTATAATCGAGACGGCAGGAATATTAGTGCTGTCACTTTAAGATCTGCCCAGTATAGCACACACACACACGTGTGCAAGATTCCTGAAATCAAGTGTTTGATTTTTCGATCCCCAACCATAAGCTTCACAGGACATTAATGCTGCAAGCAGAGTTCAGTTAGACATGATGTTTGAGCGTAACCGGTGTGTGTGTCCCGCAGTGATCGCCGAGGCGGTGGAGAAGTGGAAGGCAGAGAGAGAGTCTCGACTATCAGCAGGAGGAGTGAAGGACACGGAAGTGGAGGAGGAGGAGGAACACATCTACGCCGTCAGAGATGAAGAGGTGACCCTCATCTCTCTCCGCTTCAGTGCAGACCCGTAGATCCGTCAGTGCAGACCCGTAACGCTCCTGTGTTTTACAGCAGTCCGACGACGAGGCGGGAGAGCCGATGGAGGGAGAGGATGCGCAGTCGTTCTTCGCTCATGTCCCGGTTCCCTCGCAGAAGGAGGTTTGTTTGGCTTCCGATCGAGTTCGATTCAGTTCATCACTCACTCGCTCTCGTCACATGACACGCCAACGGAGAAGCTTTACACCGATGTTTTCAACACAACAGCAGTTTATAGTCCACACATCTGTAAAGCTTCGAAAAGGGGAAAGAGCATGTACAAGTAGCCTATATGATTCATGCGCTATACTCCAAATCATTCATTTATAAATCCTTTATTCTCTGATCATTTTCACTGGAGCTTTCAACTTCTCCATCCGCCTATTTGAACTGCTTTTTGGGATATTGCGCATAATGAAAACATATTTACCAGATAAAACGAAACCCTCAGGTACCCTTACTTTACTAATTGACCAATGGCATCGCAGCGTCTCTAATGTTGGTTTGGTGTTTCTGAAACGCCAGAGTCGAAGTGTGTGATCAGAACGATTGGGTTTAATTCCCTCCAGAAGCGTCTCACACACACGAGTGTGTTCCCGAACACCAGCATCCGAACGCCAGAGAACACGACAGCGTTTACTGTGTTTCGTCACACGCTCAAAACACACTCGTTTATGATGGAGGAGAACAGCCGATTGCAGAAACTTAGTTTATTACTGATTATTGCTCCAATTTCCCAGGAAGTGACGATTTCGCATGGAAACACTGCTTTATTCACACATTAAATTTGCATCTTTGCATGGAAACACGGCTAATGACACACAAATAACACTGATCGTGTTCTGTGAAAAATTCGAATTGTATGGATTTTTTGTGCGAACATTTAATAACGTGTAAAGATCCTGATGAAGCTGTTGTTGTGCATGTCAGATCGAGGAAGCCCTGGTGAGGCGGAAGAAGATGGAGCTTCTGCAGAAATACGCCAGCGAGAGTCTGATGGCCCAGAGTGAAGAAGCCAAGACCCTGCTGGGGTTATAGTGGACCTGATGATGATCGACCAGAGCCGTGGCTTTAGAGGAGGAGCTCACTTCAGAACTAACATCTCCGGATAATGTACTCTCTCCACGTCATCCAAGATGTTCATGTCTTTCTTTCTTCAGTGGAAAAGAAATGAAGGTTTTTGAGGAAAACACTCCAGGATGTTTCTCCGTATAGTGACTTCAATGGGGTCCAACGGGTCGAAGGTCCAGATGTGAGTTTCAGTGCAGCTTCAAAGTCTCGACACGATCCCAGCCGAGGAATAAGAGTCTTATCTAGACAAACCAGCGGACATTTATAACAAAATAAACACTTATATACTTTTTAACCACTGATGATCATCTTGCACTAGCTGTGATGCGACACACATTACGTGATCAGGTTGAAAGGTCAAGCGTGACGTAGGAGGTAGTGCAGACCCAGTGTTTACAAAGCCAACGTGCAAAGACTGAGTCAAACACCATTCACAAAAAAACAAATGTATAAATAAATAAAAGGTAAAACAACGATGTCGGACGATTTTAAAGTTGGAGGAGAAAATGAGATGAGAGTTTATCGCCCTATTCTACATGAATAGGGCGATTCTGAACCGGAACACGCGTGACCTTTCAACGTGATTGCGTAATGTGTGTCGCATCACAGCTAGTGCAAGACGATCATATGTGGTTAAAAGTATATAAATGTTTATTTTGTTATAAAATGGCGGATGGTTTGTCTAGATAAGACTCTTATTCCTCGGCTGGGATCGTGTCGAGTCTTTGAAGCTGCACTGAAACTCACATCTGGACCTCATTGAAGTCACTATATGAGTGTTTTCCTCAAAAACCTTCATTTCTTTTCCACTGAAGAAAGAAAGACATGAACATCTTGGATGACGTGGGCGAGAGTACATTATCAGGAAATGTTAGTTCTGAAGTGAACTACTCCATTAGATGATAACAGACCGTTGTTTAATCACACATGCTTCACATTAAACCGATGTGTTCGAAGAAGTTCCGGTTATGTACCTTTTAAATGTGAAATGTGCTTGACTTGACATGGACAGTATGATGCTTATGATCTGTACAGTTAACATTAAATCATTTAGGAATTTAATTATTAATCTGTTAGTTTCATCTGGACCGTACTTTAGACACTGTCGTCGTTACACAGTAATCATGTCAAATGGTGTATTACATGCAGGGATAAACTCCAGGGCTTTTCTTCCAACTTCTTCATTCATCCTTCATTTCGTCCACATGTTAAAGAACAAAAGTACAAAAATCTCTGTAAATATTTTGTATACTGTTCACTTTGCCTTCTTGGACAAGTAAACTTGTTTTTTTTTACTATGAATATGCTTTGTGTGTAAATTTGTGGAGTATTAACTCACTGAAAACATTCATGCGTTCCATTAAGAGTGTGTGATGAGAAACGGTTCGGCTCATGTGACCAGCCAGAGATAAAGCGGTCACATGGTCAGGACTCATCTAATATACTCTTCACCCACGATGCCCTGCTTCTGCAGTGGACGTAATGCAGGTCTTGTGTCTCTTTTATTATCTTATCTAGAGATTTTACATTTTTAAAGATGTACGTTTAACTGGCTGTTATGACCAGGGTTGCGGTTTGTACATCTTTAGGCTATATGAAATAACACATTAGTAATAGTATTAACTCCCTAACTCAACTGCGTGACACGGTTGTTCATTAAGAGCGGCTTTTTCTAGAAGACTTACCACATTTTAACAAGATTTCTCTGATCACTTCTGTGTAAAACAACTGGTTAAAATACTGAAGGCACATTTAAAGTAACTTGGAATCTTAATTTATCCGAAATATATGTTGTTTATTAATTAAACCGAAATGATGATGTACAGTTTAAGGAGAACATTAAAGGTGCAGTAAGCGATTTCTGAGAAATGATGTTGATATTTAAAATCACCAGAACAAACACGCCCTTTACCCAAAAGACTACGCCCCTATCTCGATGGCCCTGCCCCCAAACAGACCATTTTCACATTTCCGGGTTCTCAGAAGCGGAAGTCGTCACTGTTGGGCAGCAACGCGTTACTAGTAACGTGTTACTGTAACGCAGTTACTTTTGACAGTAACTCATACTGTAACGCATTACTTTTTAAATAAATTAACTCGGTTACCGTTACCATATGGTGCGTTTGTCCGTTATTTTTTTTAATTAATTCATTTTGGCTGAAGTGTAGCCTACAGCCTAACCTGTTTACAGCAGCGACGCATTGTTGGTGGTAGGGTTGCCACCCGTCCCTTAAAATACGGAATTGTCCCGTATTTACAAGTAAAATGACGCGTCCGTATCAAATCAGTAAGGGACGCGATTTGTCCCGTATTTTACATAAGGCCCACACATAGCCTAGTTGGATAAAAACATAGGCTTTACTATACTAATAGCAAATATCCTATAAATAAATCAATTTCACAATAATGTTACATTATGATTAGAATCAAATGAATTTTGTCCATTTTCTAAGCTTACAAAATGCACATTTATACGGGCTGAATTTTATAGGCCTAAAATAAATATTGTTTAGTCTAGTAATTATGTGAATAATTCAGTGAATTGTGTGAATTGTTCAGTCTCCACAGAACAAAATATTCATTTTATTTTTAGTGCTCTCATTTATGAGGAAAAAACAATGTTACGGATGTGACAGTTCTCCGTTACGGACGCGACGCGCTCTGAAAGCGGCACTAAAAGATGCTTTAATACTTGCAGAGACATCAAACAGAAAGCACAAAACCTTTCTTTAAAGTGAATTTTGTTTTGAATTAATTGTATCTTAATTTTAATCAATGTTTCATCAACCAATTGCCTGGATTTAATAAATAAGAAGATAATATAGCAGACGATAGATAATCACGAAATGGAGGCGCCGGCGCGTGAACTGGAGCTCGTCTCATAAATGAACCGAAACTCGGCGTATAAGGTAACCTACTTGCCTCACAGACATGTCTACTTTTAAACAGAACAATTCAAAACGAAAGAAAACAGACTACAGACTGCTCTCTGCTTATGTAATCCGTATGAAATGTGCATTTCTCTCTGGCGCGTCAGCATAGTGAGTCACCTCAGAAATCCTTGTGATATATTCAGTTTGTGCTGGTCTGACTCAAATAAAATAGTGTTTAAAAATTACTTTCTGTTTAAGTCAGTTTTGCGTTTGTATAGACCATAACGCATAAAAGGGCATTAATGGAAACATTAAAGAATGTTGTTTTTTTAAAGTAACTAAAAAGTTACTTTTAACAGTAACGCATTACTTTTTGGTGTAAGTAATCAACAAAGTAATTGAGTTACTTTTTGAATGAAGTAACTAGTTACTATTACTTAGTAACTAGCACAACACTGCAGTTGGGTAACCTTTTATAGCATGAATGAGACAATGCATTAAATATATATTTTTTTGTGCAACTCCACAATAGTGCTTTCATAAACTTAGATAGGAACAAAACAGAGAGATTGATAACGGCAGTCAGTAGAAAGACGTCACTCGCACAGCCACTGAATTACAAACATCCTCACAGCAGCGCTAACTAGTTTATTGTAATTTGACCTAAAAGTAATATAACACAAGTGTAGGGTTCAAGGTTCAAGGAGTCTTTATTAACCCCGAGGGGTAACTTGTTGTGTTATAAATGTACATACCTTTTTTTTATGAAAATAAAGAAAGCTTTGCAGGATTTATGATGTTGATGACCGTTAAAAGGCATCTTCTTGGGTCCATTCACGTATGCGCTATATAACACAGGTTCCTCCCCCTAATGTGTGCACACGCCCCTTACTGCTGATTGGTGTTTTGGTGCTCAGAAATCACTCACTGCACCTTTAAAGAGAATCGTTCACATGTAACAAATGGACACATTAATAAAGCAAACTAAACCTCATTAATAGAATCATCACAAAAATGTTCGTATTGTTTTAAGAATCTGTCACATTCTTATTACTAGTTAAATAAAAAGATTCGAGAAATCAAACGAGTCAAAACCTCAAACTAAAAATGTGAGAGAGCAGGAAGTATGCCTGAATTGGGTTTATGGATAAATAAATTTACCAAACAAAATAATAATAATAATAATAAGTGTATATTCATTAGACTTGTTGGAAGTGTCAGTATAGGTTAAATTAAAAGAATGGGCAATTTTCATGTTTATTTATTGACTGACAGTCACATACAAATAATATACATGACAATAATCCAACACATATAGTGTAAAAATTGGCCCTATATGTGCGGATGACATCACTGGTAGCCTTTGTTTCGATTCATAATCACCATATTATTCCAATCAAGATATTTTACTTTCATGTAAACATAGTCCTTCATTATTTGTGTGAATTCTAATGCGAACGCCCCCTTATCTGCAAATGACGTCACGTCGCATCTTTTTTTCCGCTCTAGGCACTTTTATTTTTATTTTTTATTGAATACAAAATCTGAATACAACAAAATGTCACAAAATGGTTATTATTATACAAAGAAAAAACGTGAAAGGCTCAACACAAATAAAGAAATAAAAACACAAAGAATTAAATAACAAATGAGGAAAGAGAAAAAAGAAACTTAAAACGGATTTTACGATACTATTTCGTTTACAAATTAGACGCTTTACAGTTGTTATATGTTAAATATTTCATTTAGGATGTGTGATGATCATACTGGCTGGGTTTATTAAAGTTTGTAAAATTGACAGGATATCTTTGCTTGGGGCATTTGGAAACAAAGCTTGTCTATTCCGAATGTAATTTCGTGCATCTCTGATGCTCATACTGTGTGTGTGTGTGTGTGTGTGTGTGTGTTGAAAAAACATGAATTAAACACTCTTGGGAGTTTTGCTGCGGTAGTGGACACGCACCGTCGCGTCGCGTCGCGTTCCCCCATTCGCCGGCGAGGAAGGATGTTTATTTCCTGAATCCTGACTCAGTCTTTCGATGGCTCGCGCCTCCTCCTCTGTCGTCACTCCGCAGCGCTCATAAAGCCCGATGGAGGAACTGGAACCGGGCAGAACTCACTCGCAGAACCGCGGAGGAACCGGACACTTCCAGAACCGCGGATCGAGATGAAGGCCTTCGCCGCGCTGATGAGGCCGTCGAGCGGCGTGTGTTCGCGGCGCGTGCGGCGCGTCGTGACGCCCGCGCGAGGACTGAGCAGTCAGGTAGTGTTTACATGCCTTCATCATCCGATGTTTGCTCAACCGCTGGATCCATTGTGTGTGTGTGTGTGTGTGTGTGTGTGTGTGTGTGTTCGTCTATTCCCCACTAAATTCTCGTTGACTGTAATATCCTCTCTTCCCTGGGGTTTGAGTTATTGATCTGCAGATTCATCTTCACAGCTCAGTTTTCATCTTTTAAATCAGAGGAATTGTGATCTTTTTTTTGATCCCTTGTTTGTTATTATACTGTAACTACAAGGCTGATATAGTTCATTTTTGTCGTTTTGGGCAACGGCAGTTAAAAAACATTACAGTAAACCTATTTCTGATTATACAAAACATAGGCTAATATTAATGGTCTGCCTTTATATGAGGTATTTAAGTCAGTCATAACTGGTGCAGCGATGTTGTGAGTGTTGTGAAACTGCGGTTATTGAGGAGGACACGGTCACGGGGGATTACATTACAGATGTCGTTAACATGCATTTTTTAAATATAACAATATGTATTAGGCCTATATGTAAAAACATATAAGTGCGATTAATTTAAACTAAGTAGTAGTACATTCTAGTTAAAGACACTTCATACAAAGCGAGACTAATATTAATTATCATGTAATTAATAATAATAATTCTTAATGGTTTGTTATTGTTATTTATGCCATTATATTTATGCAAAGTTGTTTTGTGATCTAAACGTTCGCATCATTGTTTTGTTTCGTTATTTCAGTTTTATTATAGTTTCATTAGCTTTTATTCTTATATTTTTAGTTTTTTGGTAATTTCGTTATGTGCTTTTGTCATTTTATTCATTTTAAAGAAATAAAAATATTTTAAATGTTTCTATTTAGGTTAAATCTATTTTAACTTTAACTTGTATTTATTTCCAGTTATTCATTTTAGTGCTTCAACTTCAACTTATTTCAGTTCAGCCACATTTCTAATCTTCATTTAGTTTGTTTTTCAACTAATATCTATATTTTATTATATTTGAGGTTTATTTCAGTTAAAAAGAAATGTTTGGTTACACTTTATTTTAAGGTGTCCTTGTTTCAGTTTGATAATATATTTAAGTACTGAATAATATTAATTAAAGTCCCCCTGTAGTCAATCATTTTATCCCTTAAAACTCATCTTTGATCACCAAAATGATATTTTTAAATGTTTTTTCCTTGAAAAAAAATCTTGATGCCTTAAAATATCTTGAATGTAACTCGACACCCTTGCCTCATTTACTATGTGTGGTTCTATGAATATGCAAATGAGCCCCGCCTCCACTCAGAGATCCACTGGTTGACGATCACACGTTGATCTGATTGGTTACAAGGTAGTTTGTGACGTCAGAAGAACCAGCGATTTCAAACCGTGTTTTTGAGACTGTCTTTGGTTCACTGCAGTTTTAACAAGGAAATACTCAGCAATGCTGTCGACTTATGAATTTACACATGGTTTGTCTTAAAGCGTATTAAAAACACCACATAGACACATAATAAACAACATTAAAAGCTGGATTTTCACCACAGGGAGACTTTAACAACATGTACTAAAGTTAAAGTTAATGATAATAATCCTTACATAAATGGCTGTTATAAGTAGAGTAATTATTTAAACAAAACAATAGATTACTTAATTTACCTGTGATTGAGGTTTTTGAATCAAAATTCAACAGAAGATTTGAGTTAAAGTGTCGAAGTGATTATGTTTTGATCTCTACTCTGACTGATGTGGATTTGCGTATAGTCGATATCATGTATAATACAGTTTAATGACAGCAGATGTACTCAGAAATGTTGAAATTAAGCACATTTATATTTTAATAATTAATAAATATTTGAAAATGGAAGATGTTTGCACTAGACTCGTGTTAAATCATCATAATAGCTTGAGATTCTCAGAGTCCAGTCCTTCACTGACCCGCAGCCGTCCGTGACCCTCGACCCCAACACCAGTCACAGGGGTCAGGTTTATGAAATTGAGATTTATACATCATCTGAAAACTGCTGGATAAATAAGCTTTCCATTTATGTATGGTTTGTTAGGATAGGACAATATTTTGGTCGAGATACGACTATTTGTAAATCTGGAATCTGAGGGTGCAAAAAAATCGAAACATTGAGAAAATCTCCTTTAAAGTTGTGCATTTATGTTGGTGATTATGCTGCATTCACTCACAGAAATACGTGATTTATATATTTACGGTAGGAAATTTACAAAATATCTTTATGGATCATGATCTTTACTTAATATCCTAATGATTTCTGGTATAAAAGAAAAATCGCTAATTGTGACCCGTACAGTGTATAGTTGGCTATTGCCACAGATATACCCGTGCGACTCGTGACTGGGTCTGTGATCCGGGACACACATCAGCATCACTCAGCTGTCAATCACAGTGAAGCCACTCCTCTTCCTCACACACTCTGGGTCTGTGATCCAGGACACACATCAGCATCACTCAGCTGTCGATCACAGTGAAGCCACTCCTCTTCCTCACACACTCTGGGTCTGTGATCCGGGACACACATCAGCATAACTCAGCTGTCGATCACAGTGAAGCCACTCCTCTTCCTCACACACTCTGGGTCTGTGATCCAGGACACACATCAGCATCACTCAGCTGTCAATCACAGTGAAGCCACTCCTCTTCCTCACACACACTGGGTCTGTGATCCAGGACACACATCAGCATCACTCAGCTGTCAATCACAGTGAAGCCACTCCTCTTCCTCACACACACTGGGTCTGTGATCCAGGACACACATCAGCATCACTCAGCTGTCGATCACAGTGAAGCCACTCCTCTTCCTCACACACACTGGGTCTGTGATCCGGGACACACATCAGCATCACTCAGCTGTCAATCACAGTGAAGCCACTCCTCTTCCTCACACACACTGGGTCTGTGATCCAGGACACACATCAGCATCACTCAGCTGTCAATCACAGTGAAGCCACTCCTCTTCCTCACACACACTGGAGATCTGTAGGAACACAACATGATTGTGCTGATGAACCTCAGGTCGTCTCATGACCCGGCTCTGAGAAGTGATCGGGATCTTCCCCGAGAGAGACTCCCTGTGGGGAACATGATGTTTCATTAAAGCAGAAGGACCGTAATCCTCCAGTGAACATGTTACGACAATCCCAGAGACAAGCGTCCGTCAGGGGTCGAGAGTGCACAGCGTCAGCCTCTTCTGTGCGCAACTAATCTCTCCGAGGACAGACACATCGTGGCATTGTGTGTGCCACTAAAACTGGATTATGTCGTCTTTATTCTATCTATATCTTTATTTCATGTTGCTAAAGCAATTCGGTAACACTAAATCAATCCCTAACCCTATAGTGAGCGCATGTTAATTCATACATGTGTCTAGTTCCACTGCTTAAAATATACTGTGAGCTAACATTCTTTCAATGATGCAGTCATATTAGTGAAATATAGATTTTCAGTCAATAGTGACGCAGATCTTACACATGAATCACTGATAAAACAAGCTTTCTATTGGTCAACATGCAAGTTTGCGGGACTAATCCTTCGTCCTCACGTGAACTTTCATACCACACGATTCTGGATACTTTGAGATAAAGATGTCGTGTCTTTTCTTCCTGAATAAGCAGTAATGGCGACTAGAATTACAATAAAACAAACTGTTTCCTGAAGTTTATGAACAGGATTACGCAGAGACAGCGCACACACATGGAGTCAATCACATTTCTAATCTATCTTTATGGGCATTATGGGTAGACTTTTCCTAAAGCTGAACAACCTTTTAAATGACAAAACTGTTTCTGTTATTATTAAAGATAATTAATTAAAAATTTATATTCTAATTAATTCACAACAAAGGAGATCACGATTCTGAACAGACAACTAAACAACTAACATGAAATTTACTAAAGGTTCTGACAAAATGTTAATTTTTGCAGTCTATTTAAAAATATTTAATTCATTAGAATTTTGAGTTTGAATGAATGATTCAATGACTCACTCATAAAGAATTCACTTGTTTCATTACTAGATGAATCAGCGTTTTTGAACGAATCTCTTGAATGAATGATTCAATGACTCACTCATAAAGACTTCACTTGTTGAGTCATTTAAAAACTCTGATTCATCCAGTAATGAAACAAGCGAAGTCTTTATGAGCGAGTCATGGAATCATTTATTCAAGAGATTCGTTCAAAAACACTGATTCATCCAGTAATGAAACAATTAATGTATTTATGAGTGAGTCATTGAATCATTCATTCAAGAGATTCGTTCAAAAACACTGATTCATCCAGTAATGAAACAATTATTGTCTTTATGAGTGAGTCATGGAATCATTCATTCAAGAAATTCATTCAAAAGCACTGATTCATCCAGTAATGAAACAAGTGAAGTCTTTATGAGTGAGTCATTGAATCATTCATTCAAGAGATTTGTTCAAAAACACCAATTCATCCAGTAATGAAACTAGTGAAGTCTTTATGAGTGAGTCATTGAATCATTCATTCAAGAGATTTGTTCAAAAACACCAATTCATCCAGTAATGAAACTAGTGAAGTCTTTATGAGTGAGTCATTGAATCATTCATTCAAGAGATTTGTTCAAAAAGCTGATTCATCCAGTAATGAAACAAGTGAAGTATTTATGATTGAGTCATTGAATCGTTCATTCAAGAGATTTGTTCAAAAACACTGATTCATCCAGTAATGAAACAAGTGAAGTCTTTATGAGTGAGTCATTGAATCATTCATTCAAGAGATTCGTTCAAAAACGCTGACTCATCCAGTTATGAAACAAATGAATTCTTTATAGATAGGATAATTTTAGATAGGAAGCCCATTAGGGCACATCATTGTGTTAGTCTGAGGAATTTGAATATTTTATCTTTTGAAAACTTCATTAAATTTTCTATGTTGAAGCTGATGTATAAATGTTTAAATCAGCAAGCTCCACAGGTCTTGAGTGAGTGCATAGTAGCTCTCAGGGATGTGGGTTCAAGGACTAGAGGAGCTCAGAACGGGAAATGTCAGATCCCGAAATGTAATACTTCATTTGGACAATCAGCTTTTTCTGTACAAGGCACTAAAGCCTGGAATTGTTTACCCACTGACCTGAAAGGAGAGACAAACTGGGTCCTTTTCAAAAACAACCTTAAAGACTCTTTAATCAGAAGTCAGAAATGTGACCACTGACTGTCCGCTGCGTTTATATTGTGTTATATTGTATTATTATGTTTATTTTAACTCTGTATTGTGTAATTTTATGTAAAGGCCCACTAGGGACTAACATTGAGAATTAGCCTTGGCTAAAATGTTGTAGTATGGAACATGAGCTTATGTAACATACTTGTCCCTATTCAAATAAACTTAAATAATAATAATTTATGAGTGAGTCATTGAATCATTCATTCAAGAGATTTGTTCAAAAACACTGATTCATCCAGTAATGAAACAAGGGAAGTCTTTATGAGTGAGTCATTGAATCATTCATTCAAGAGATTCGTTCAAAAACACTGATTCATCCAGTAATGAAACAAGGGAAGTCTTTATGAGTGAGTCATTGAATCATTCATTCAAGAGATTCGTTCAAAACGCTGATTCATCCAGTAATGAAACAAATGAAGTCTTTATGAGTGAGTCATTGAATCATTCATTCAAGAGATTTGTTCAAAAACACTGATTCATCCAGTAATGAAACAAGGGAAGTCTTTATGAGTGAGTCATTGAATCATTCATTTAAGAGATTTGTTCAAAAACACTGATTCATCCAGTAATGAAACAAGTGAAGTCTTTATGAGTGAGTCATTGAGTCATTCATTCAAAAGATTCATTCAAAAACTCTGATTCATCCAGTAATGTGTGCTTTTCTTTAGGCCTGTTCTTGATGTTTTGAGCTTTATTGTGGGTCTCTGTCTCTCTCTAACAGTCGGAGCCAGGCTTCGGGTTGCTGTTTGACATCGATGGAGTCCTAGTGCGAGGGAAGACGCCCATCCCAGCGGCCAAGAGAGCCTTCCAGAAGCTTGTGGATGCGAAGGGGCAGTTCCTGGTTCCCGTCGTCTTCGTCACGAATGCTGGAAACTGCTTACGCCAGAAGAAGGCAGATCAGCTGTCACACATACTGGGTGTTCCTGTGAGTTCTGTTCCCTCCAGTCGAGATGAAGAGATTCTGTATCAGATTCATTCAGCTTGACACACACATTGAAGGGGTCGAATCATGAGAAATCAAAATATTCTCTTTTTTCTCTTTCTTTCTAACTAATCTTTCTTTCATTCTTTCTTTCTAACTAATCTTTCTTTTTTCTTTCTACTTTTTTCTTTCTAACTAATCTTTCTTTTTCTTTCATCCTAATCTTTCTTTTTTTTACTTTCTTTTTTTCTCACTTCTTTCTTTATTTCTAACTTTTCTTTCGTTCTAACTAATCTTTCTTTCTTTCTTGTTCAAAATTCATGTATAATTTTGATGAAAGGTTTTGATCCACTTCAGATGTTGACAACTGTATATTTTTTGTTGCATGATGTGAAGTGTTTATGTATGATAATAACCACTGATATGGAGGATGATCTGTTGGGTTCATTTATAGATATCTCAAGACCAGGTCATGATGTCCCACAGTCCTCTGCGAATGTTCAGGAAGTTTCATGACAAGCATGTGCTGGTGTCGGGCCAGGGTCCAGTGCTCGACATCGCCAGGAAGTATCCTTCAGTGTGTGTGTTTATCCTTCAGTGTGTGTGTTTATCCTCCAGTGTGTTTGTTTATCCTTCAGTGTGTGTGTTTATCCTCCTAGTGTGGACCCCGTCGCCACATGGCCTCGTGTGTCACTGAATGCATATGTGGCCTTTATTCCACCCCGATGATGTCATTAGATGTGATAATACTTACAAACTTAATCTGAGGAATGGGATTATCATAATCCCTCAAATCTCTTGTTGTTGTTTGCGAGTAAAAAAGGATTTTGGTCATAAAGCACTGATGAGTTCTTAACCCTGTGGATCAGCGTGGGCTTCACAAACGTGGTCAGCATCGACATGTTGCGCGAGTCTTTCCCTCTGCTGGACATGGTGGACCACAACCGAAGACCCAAGCTGCCCGTGAGCGCACACTACACACACACTACTCACCACACTAACGCACACTACACACACACACACACACACTACTCACCACACTAACGCACACTACACACACACACACTACTCACTACACTAACGCACACTACACACACACTACTCACCACACCAACGCACACTACACACACACTACTCACGACACTAACACACATTACACACACACACTACTCACGACACTAATGCACATTACACGCACACTACTCATGACACTAATGCACACTGCACATTACACGCACACTACTCATTACACGCACACTACTCATTACACGCACACTACTCATTACACGCACACTACTCATTACACGCACACTACTCTCGACACTAACGCACATTACACCACACTACTCACGACACTAACGCACATTACACGCACACTACTCACGACACTAACGCACATTACACGCACACTACTCAGACACTAACGCACATTACACACACACTACTCACGACACTAACGCACATTACACACACACTACTCACGACACTAACGCACATTACACACACACTACTCACGACACTAACGCACATTACACACACACTACTCTCGACACTAACGCACATTACACACACACTACTCACGACACTAACGCACATTACACACACACTACTCAGGACACTAACGCACATTACACGCACACTACTCTCGACACTAACGCACATTACACACACACTACTCTCGACACTAACGCACATTACACGCACACTACTCACGACACTAACGCACATTACACGCACACTACTCTCGACACTAACGCACATTACACCACACTACTCACGACACTAACGCACATTACACGCACACTACTCACGACACTAACGCACATTACACGCACACTACTCAGACACTAACGCACATTACACACACACTACTCACGACACTAACGCACATTACACACACACTACTCACGACACTAACGCACATTACACACACACTACTCACGACACTAACGCACATTACACACACACTACTCTCGACACTAACGCACATTACACACACACTACTCACGACACTAACGCACATTACACACACACTACTCAGGACACTAACGCACATTACACGCACACTACTCTCGACACTAACGCACATTACACACACACTACTCTCGACACTAACGCACATTACACGCACACTACTCACGACACTAACGCACATTACACGCACACTACTCTCGACACTAACGCACATTACACGCACACTACTCACGACACTAACGCACATTACACGCATACTACTCACCACACTAACGCACATTACACGCACACTACTCACGACACTAACGCACATTACACACACACTACTCACGACACTAACGCACATTACACGCATACTACTCACCCCACTAACGCACATTACACGCACACTACTCACGACACTAACGCACATTACACGCACACTACTCACGACACTAACGCACATTACACGCACACTACTCACGACACTAACGCACATTACACGCACACTACTCACGACACTAATGCACATTACACACACACTACTCACGACACTAACGCACATTACACGCACACTACTCAGACACTAACGCACATTACACGCACACTACTCACGACACTAACCCACATTACACGCACACTACTCACGACACTAACGCACATTACACAGACTACTCACGACACTAACGCACATTACACGCACACTACTCACGACACTAACGCACATTACACAGACTACTCACGACACTAACGCACATTACACACACACTACTCACGACACTAACGCACATTACACACACACTACTCACGACACTAACGCACATTACACAGACTACTCACGACACTAACGCACATTACACGCACACTACTCACGACACTAACGCACATTACACGCACACTACTCACGACACTAACGCACATTACACGCACACTACTCACGACACTAACGCACATTACACGCACACTACTCAGACACTAACGCACATTACACGCACACTACTCACGACACTAACGCACATTACACGCACACTACTCAGACACTAACGCACATTACACACACACTACTCACGACACTAACGCACACTTCTCACGACACTAACGCACATTACACACACACTACTCACGACTCTAACGCACATTACACGCACACTACTCAGACACTAACGCACATTACACACACACTACTCACGACACTAACGCACATTACACACACACTACTCACGACACTAACGCACATTACACGCACACTACTCACGACACTAACGCACATTACAGACTACTCACGACACTAACGCACATTACACACACACTACTCACGACACTAACGCACATTACACGCACACTACTCACGACACTAACGCACATTACACACACACTACTCACCACACTAACGCACATTATACACACACTACTCACGACACTAACGCACATTACACGCACACTACTCAGACACTAACGCACATTACACGCACACTACTCACGACACTAACGCACATTACACGCACACTACTCACCACACTAACACACATTACACGCACACTACTCACGACACTAACGCACATTACACGCACACTACTCACGACACTAACGCACATTACACGCACACTACTCACGACACTAACGCACATTACACGCACACTACTCAGACACTAACGCACATTACACACACACTACTCACGACACTAACGCACATTACACGCACACTACTCACGACACTAACGCACATTACACGCACACTACTCAGACACTAACGCACATTACACACACACTACTCACGACACTAACGCACATTACACGCACACTACTCACGACACTAACGCACATTACACACACACACTACTCACGACACTAACGCACATTACACAGACTACTCACGACACTAACGCACATTACACACACACTACTCACGACACTAACGCACATTACACGCACACTACTCACGACACTAACGCACATTACACGCACACTACTCACGACACTAACGCACATTACACGCACACTACTCACGACACTAACGCACATTACACACACACTACTCACGACACTAACGCACATTACACGCACACTACTCACGACACTAACGCACATTACACACACACTACTCACGACACTAACGCACATTACACACACACTACTCACGACACTAACGCACATTACACGCACACTACTCAGACACTAACGCACATTACACGCACACTACTCACGACACTAACGCACATTACACGCACACTACTCAGACACTAACGCACATTACATGCACACTACTCACGACACTAACGCACATTACACGCACACTACTCACGACACTAACGCACATTACACACACACTACTCACGACACTAACGCACATTACACGCACACTACTCACGACACTAACGCACATTACACACACACACTACTCACGACACTAACGCACATTACACAGACTACTCACGACACTAACGCACATTACACACACACTACTCACGACACTAACGCACATTACACGCACACTACTCACGACACTAACGCACATTACACGCACACTACTCACGACACTAACGCACATTACACGCACACTACTCACGACACTAACGCACATTACACACACACTACTCACGACACTAACGCACATTACACACACACTACTCACGACACTAACGCACATTACACGCACACTACTCACGACACTAACGCACATTACACACACACTACTCACGACACTAACGCACATTACACGCACACTACTCACGACACTAACGCACATTACACGCACACTACTCAGACACTAACGCACATTACACGCACACTACTCACGACACTAACGCACATTACACGCACACTACTCAGACACTAACGCACATTACACACACACTACTCACGACACTAACGCACATTACACACACACTTCTCACGACACTAACGCACATTACACACACACTACTCACGACTCTAACGCACATTACACGCACACTACTCAGACACTAACGCACATTACACACACACTACTCACGACACTAACACACACTACTACACATTACACACACACTACTCAGACACTAACGCACATTACACACACACTACTCACGACACTAACGCACATTACACACAAACTACTCACGACACTAACGCACATTACACACACACTACTCACCACACTAACGCACATTACACACACACTACTCACCACACTAATGCATATTACACACACACTACTCACCACACTAATGCATATTACACACACACTACTCACCACACTAATGCATATTACAAACACACTAGTACTCACCACACTGACGCACATTAGACACACACTACTCACGACACTAACACACACTACACACACACACTACTCACGACACTAACGGCTGCGATCTTAATGCTTTACTTACTGAAACACTGCATCAGGAAATAAGAATCTGGCACAATTTGATTCAGTTTGATACAATTCACAATTAAAAAAAATCTCAAGACTTTCTTTTTTTAAAAGAAATTAATACTTTTATTTACTTCAAATACTATCAGGATGCATTCGATTGGTCAAAAAAATAAAAAATGTGACAAAAATTGTCAATGTCAAAAGTCTCATACATACTACAATATGAGTAATTTTATTTCACGATAACAAAATATTTTTATGATATAAAACTTTTTAATATTACACCAATTTTAATATCACAAAAAACGATTACTAGTATACCTAATGCAAGTAAAAAAGGAAAGGTTAGTTGATGAGTGTATGCCGCTGATGTGGAGTTAACGATCTTCTAGTCATTGATTAGCATATTCTGTCATGATAATCTATGAATCGTGTTCCCGGGGGTGGGGTTTATGTAAATATTAGGGTTAGTGATGTCACCAACCCCGGGAGGAAGCTCGTGTAGTTCCTACCAGCCGTTTGTTGTAGTCCTTAAAAAGCGATTTTTGTAAAAGTAACTATCTCCCTTTGCTTTGAACTTTGAGTTGTAACTTTGCAGATGTTGTTTATGCTCAAACTGCAATATTACACACTGACTACAGCTAGAAAAGGGAAATCATAATCAACCACCCCTTTAAAGGATTGAAGATGTTTGTACTGTTATGGTCTGGTGTTTCTGAGATCCCGAAGCGAGCGAGAGGTTCTGAGATCTCTGATGGTGTTTAACGCAGATGATGTGCTTGTTGTTTCAGTCTTCTCCTGTGGTGAACCTCCCCAGAGTCGAAGGTAAGAGCTTCTGCTCACACACACACGTTCCACATGAAAAACAAAGCAATAATGTAATGTAATGAGTAACAGTAGTGTTTGCTTTGCTTGTGTTGTGCTGTGACTAGCTGTGGTTCTGTTCGGTGAGCCGATCCGGTGGGAAACGAACTTACAGCTGATCGTCGACGTGCTTCTGACGAGTGGCAATCTGAGCGGTTCCTACGAGAGCCGTCACACACACACACACCTGCCACTGCTGGCCTGCAACATGGACCTGGTGTGGATGGCAGAGGCGCACTCACCCAGGTACACACACACACACACACACACACACTACTGCTGGCCTGCAACATGGACCTGGTGTGGATGGCAGAGGCGCACTCACCCAGGTACACACACACACACACACACACACACACACACACACACACACACACACACACACACACACACACGTAAACACACACACACACACACTACTGCTGGCCTGCAACATGGACCTGGTGTGGATGGCAGAGGCGCACTCACCCAGGTACACACACACACACACACACACACACACACACTACTGCTGGCCTGCAACATGGACCTGGTGTGGATGGCAGAGGCGCACTCACCCAGGTACACACACACACACACACTACTGCTGGCCTGCAACATGGAACTGGTGTGGATGGCAGAGGCGCACTCACCCAGGTACACACACACACACACACACACACACTACTGCTGGCCTGCAACATGGAACTGGTGTGGATGGCAGAGGCGCACTCACCCAGGTACACACACACACACACACTACTGCTGGCCAGCAACATGGACCTGGTGTGGATGGCAAAGGCGAATTTGCCGAGGTACACACACACACACACACACACACACACACACACACACACACGTGCGCACACACACACACACGCGCGCACACACACACCTGCCACTGCTGGGCTGCAACATGGACCTGGTGTGGATGGCAGAGGCGCACTCGCCCAGGTACACACACACACACACACACGCACACAATCAGAGAACACTAACGTCACTGTAGTTCCTATAGCGCTGGTTTAGAGCGACTCTGAAGTAGGAGTAAATTAGTTCATCTAAAAGGAGTTCCTAGAACTAAAATAGTTCCTAGTTCCTGCGGTGCAAACGCGCCGACATCCGGGAACTTCCCCAATAGTTTTAGGAACGATGAAGAGGATCCTCCAAAGCGAACACCGCTGATATGTGCTCTTTAAAGAGATCTCAGTGAATGTTTGAGTCTGTCCATTAATAAATGAGAGTGGCGTCCTCAGGTTCGGCCACGGCACGTTCATGGTGTGTCTGGAGAGCATCTATAAGAAGATCACGGGTCAGGACCTGAAGTACGAGGCCCTGATGGGGAAGCCCAGCGAACTGACCTATCACTACGCAGAGTTCCTCATCAGAGAGCAGGCGTCCGAGCGGGGCTGGAGGCAGCCAATCACATCGCTGTATGCTGTCGGGTGAGTGACACACGCCAATCACATCGCTGTATGCTGTCGGGGGAGTGACACACACTCCAGTTACATTCAAGCGGTTTAAAAGGAATGAAACATTTTCATTTTTTGAAAGTTAATTTTTTGGTCTGAATTTTCAAAGGAAGGAAAAAACGTTTAAATATGTCATTTTGGTGATCAAAGATGAGTTTAAGGGATAAAATGATTGACTACAGGGGGACTTTAAATTCTAACTTAAACTCTCATAAATCTTGAATGCTTTGCAGACTTTAGTTTGTTTCTCTATTTAAAGAAGACTCTTGGGAGATTATTGCTGAAGTGAAACAAGTTGTGCTCCAAATTTGAGCTTGTCATCTGATAAAATGTTGTAACTGAGTTATGGTCTGGCAAAGCGTCATAGACAAATCATTTCCAGAGGGGCGTCACCAACGGACGTCGCGGATAGACCTAAAACCAATCAGAGCGATGAAGGAGATGACGTATGCAGAGCGGCGGAGAATCTCCGAGTGTTGTTCTTGGCTCGGTTTTTAACAAAAAGGAAACGTTCAAATCGCTTAAAACAGACGCGATAGCTGATTCGAACAAGTGATGTTCGGCGGCGGCATCCATCTTTGTAATGTAGGCTACAAAATCTGCTTCAAAATCCCAGCGCTGTCCTCATCGTGTAAAGCCCGCCCCAACGTTTCTGATTGGTGCCTCGATTTCGACGGATTGGAAATGGGTTTGAATGAGCTCTTTGCCAGACTAACTTTCAGAGCAAATCTAATGCTCTGATGCTTGCCGCATGAAAGCAGAGAATTTCCCACTGGGTTACAGAGGCTATTTCACTGGCATATGAGGTCCGCGGTCTGCCTTCACCTCTTAGCATCAGGGCACATTCCACCAGAGGCGTGGCTTCTTCTTAAGCACTTTTTAGAGGTGCCCTCCTGGAAGACGTTTGTGTAGCAGCAGGCTGGTCCTCTCCGCACACTTTTGTCAGATTCTACAGTTTGGATCTCGACACGACTCCAGGTTCCCAAGTTTGATCTGCTTGAACCAGTCATGTTCAGTATAATGTGACGACGTAAGAGCGTCGGGGCGGCGCCCGCGCCATCAGCCAATAAATTGGCGTGATTCTATAAGGGCTTCAGACAATCGGCACACCCAGAGGCCGTTCCCACTGCGTCTTAAGCTACGCAGCGTTGAGTGAACCTATTCAGAGAACATAGGTTACATCAGTAACCAGAGACGTTTCATACCATTCCCATGAAGTAGAAAATCCTAAAAAATGTTAAAAAGGTTAAAGTTCTCAGTCAGAAAAGACCACAGAGGGTTAAACAGGGATCATTTCACAATGTCGCTAAAGATAGAAGCTACTTCCTGATTGTGATTGATTGCATCCGTTGAAGGCTACAATGTACAGAATGAAGATATTTTGCTTATAAAACAACAGCTCATTTCTGATCTCTCTGTATCATCAGTGGATGAGAAACTTTTAGGAAAAGGCGCATACATCTTTCTCCTAATACAGGAGATTTGGACATGTGACTCTGGTGCTCTTCGGCCATTTTTAACTGAAACGTTTTACTTTTTTTTTTTTTTAAAGGTTTTGGCACTTGCGATTTAAGCACAAAACAATATCATGGACATGATTTGAAAGGTTAAATGGTCCTGTAAACAATAGTCACGTGTGCTTCTCGCGGTCAGAAACGAGCGCATTGGAAATTAATGGAGAGTTTCCTCTAGTGGAAGCGTTTGGAACTGCAGCCGAACACACTCTCACTGAACGCTCATTCAGCCTCACATTTGGAACACAACTTTTTTAGATTTGTCGCTTGGATTTTCTCAGTTTTAGAGTAAAACATGTTTTTGAAAATCTATGTTTCATATAAAAATTGAAAAAAGTATTTTTGTGTATTTTTAATAACAATAAACGTAAAATTCTGTAACTTTTTTTAATTTCGCTTTTCAAAACTTTTCTGACTTCAGCAATAATCTGCCGAGTGTCTTCTTTAAAAAGAGATCAAACTTCAGTCTGTCGCTCTAAAAGCATTAAAAATTTAATAAACGGATTATAAATACAGCGTAAATATTATTTAGTACCATAAAATCCCCTAAAAATACAAAATATTAAATTAAAAAACTAAAATATAGTACATACATTTTTTTTCAAATAATACAAAATCTGTCATTTTGTCCGCCACCCTCTTGAAGAGTTAATGAACTTTTTTGTATTTTTTAACCCTCTAAATGCCTTCATGCACAACCTGATGACTGACATCTGCCATTATCAGGACACACACATATTCCCACTGCATTATTATACATTATATCCAACATTATATAGCAGTGTAATGTAATTCTGACACTAAAACTAAAAAAACTTGAATCTCACAGAAACAACTATTTTACATATACACAATACACATTGATGCATTTTTGAATTGCGAAATATTGTGACAATATATTAATATATTATAATTAAAATAATAATGTACATTCATTTCATTGAAATAAAAAAATGTGACACGTGAAGAGCACCTTGAAGAATTGCTGAACTGTGTTGTTGTTGTTAACCCTTTAAATGCTATTAGGGACAACCTGATGACTGACATCTACGGTGCCAACCTCTACAACCGGTACCTGGAGGAGCGCGTGGCGCGGAAGAGCCGGGCCGTGGCCAACATGGGATCGGGATCGGGAACGATCCCTCGGGACTCGGACCCAGAGAACAACGGCTGGGAAAGCGAGCTCGCGTCACCATCCGCAACCTCCTGCAAGTCCATCCTGGTGTGCACAGGTGTGTATAACCCTCACCTGGAGCTCCCCCGGGACGCCGGCCGGAGCATCACGGAGACGGTGTTCCACGGGCACAGGGACTTCTGCTTCGACCCGGCGCTGGTGGAGCCCGAGAGCATCGTGCCGGACGTAGACGCCGCCGTGCAGCTCATCTTCCAGATGGAGGAGTTCGGGACCGCGGGCTAGACGGCCGGCGCACGCGTCACACGGGGCGATCCGAGCATCACTGATCACACTTCAACTGGAACACGTCCCAAAAATATGGTTATTGGCATCAAGAGTCGCCATCCTTTACATTTAGAACAAGCACTTTGAGTCCCGGTCAGTCATGAAGCGCACAGTAGGCCCACGACAGAGTAAAGCTGTGTTCAAAGCCACTCAACGTCCCCCGATCGCATGGTATTGAAGCTCGTTTCTGCCACGCAAAACAGAAATAAATGAAATAAAAAGGGAATTGCGACTTCTTATTTCGCAACTCTTAGAAAAAAGCCAGAATTGTGAGATAAAAAGTTGCAAATTTCCACGGCAAAGATGTTTTAAAGAGAGCATTCGTACTCCTGTTATTCAGTTATATCAGTTCAGTGTTCAAGTCAGATTACAGAAACTCACTGTATGGTTTTATCGTCACACGCCCCAAAAATATGGTTATTGATATCAAGAGTCAACATCTTTACATTTAGAACATGTACAAGTGAGGAAACGGCAGCGATCCGGTGAGATCTGGTGATCTGAGTGTCACTGATCTGCTCTAGCCGGACCGTGCTCGAGTCCGCCAGTGTTTCGTCAAGAGTCCACACACGCTGTGATCAGAGTCATGAAACACACTGTTCTCGCTGCACACACACATCTGACCAATCGCAAGGTATTGAAGCATGCAAAAAACAAACAAATAAATGGAATAAAAAGGTAATTGCGACTTCTAATCTCACCACTCTTAGAAAAAAGCCAGAATTGTGAGATAAAAAGTCGCGAATAGCTTTATTTTTGTTTGTTTGTTGGTGTGAACAAACTTCCACAGCGAAGATGTTTTAAAGAGACATTCGTACTTCTGTTTCTCATTTCAGTGTTCAAGTCAGATTACAGAAACTCGCTGTAAGGTTTTATCGTTACACATCTACCGTTTCCGTAGAATTGTCTGTGTAATACTCTGTATTAATTCAATATGTTCTGTATTATCTTCATTGTGCCAGTTTTAGAAATCGTTACATCTCCATTCTATATATATATATATATATATATTTACTGGTTACTGTTACATTGTAACATTCTGGTGAGATTTGCACTGAGACGAAACAACCTTGTAGATAAAAGCCATTTACTTGAACGTTTGTTTTTGAATTTTAAATGTGCGCCTCCAATATACAGTTAAACGACTGTTCAGACGTATTATACATCCTGGTAGTTTAATAAAGATTGACAAATAGTTGCATTTTTGTCACTTGTAAATAAATGTGTACTTTAGTATGAACTTTAAGGTAGTTATTTTCTTTCTTTTCTTTTTTTTTTTTACATATGTGACCATTCTAATTTTTTACCCAAATTAATTTAATGTCATTAAACAGTTTAACAAAAAACATAATTATGTGGTACATTCTTAAAGTCTTACATACAAGATATGCTGATAGCTTTATTGATAAAATAATATAACAATTTATCACCAAATAGAAATTGATCACGTCTCTCAAAACATTTAACTGATTGACAAAAGAAAAAAAAAATGCATAGAAATATAACATGATGACTTTAAAAACAAACTACAACATTAAAAACTGCTTTAAAAGGCACTAGAATTTCTCTTCCAACATGATTTCCTTCAAGTAAATCTGACATTACTGTGTTTAACACATTCACTCCTGAACACTACACATCTGTGAACCTGAAGAGTGTAGCCACACACACACACACACACACACTGACCACAGATCTGGGTTTAACACACTTCATGTCAGTCAGTTATATATGTATTTCAGTAATTGCAGACGGATATAAACTCAAGCTGGTGTTGTGTGTAAATCGGCTCTGGTTATTCATGAACCCGCAACTGATGATGTCATTCCCTCATTATTCAGTGCAATTATGCCACAAATTTAACGGTACAATGTTATCAGAAAAATGTTTAAAAAGCTAGTTTATTATAATTTTCTACAAGGCTTTGTGGTATAAATGAATGCAAAATGTACAAAATAGCAATGCCCATGTTATGATGTTGTTTTTAAATCGGCTATAAAACATGTGCATTAGACAGAACACGTCACAGTCCAGCAATCACGGACCTGTCATTACCCAGAGGGCCGTTCACCACAGTAATGGAGATATTACAGCCCAAGCTCATCTGTGTTTCACCTGTACAGTTGAGTGTGTGGCCTGGCCAAGTACACTGTGTTTGAGCTTCAGATATTAATCTAAACTAACCATATTATGATCAAGAATAAGTTATTTAATACGTTTTTTAATGTCCAGACAGTAGATCAGATCTGTGCTCATTATTGTTGCTGTGCGTGCATCACTGTCTGTACGTTACCTTTCAGTGTTAAAATTGAGATTTATGCATCATAATAAACATGTTGTGATAAAATTCACAATTCATTAGTTGTTTGCAGTTGTTTTAAATTATTTTATATTATATATTTGATTGATTAGATGGGCAGTTAAACATTTACCTGAACTTTGAAGTTTATTAAAAATTCACATTTTAATTTTACTAAGATGAACAATTAAACATTTACTTGAAATAATCTTAAACCCGTCACTGTACATTGCTGTTCAAGTCAGACTCATTACCAATAATTGAATGGAATTTTAAAAATATATTGATACGAATATGTTTCTTGTAATCTATTAGTCTGCATTCACATTGCGCTTCTATTTTGGTCTTTTTAGCATGTGCTATAATAGTTATTACAAACAAACCTCTGGCGCGCTGAGCGGTGACTGGGACTCCTCTGATTGGCCAATGCGTTCATAAGGTCATCAGACGTGATGTGATTGGCTGCATTTCTCACGGCTGCAAACACGCAGTAAACAGGAGCATCTCACGAGCGCAAACTCAAGAACACGATGGCGCGTTTGCCAGATAACATTACATCATCACAGTCTCAGCGGAGGCTCTTGCTCTCGCTTCACAGTGCTTGTATTCAAATTTGACTTTGTGAAGTTGAAGACGTTTGCTCGAGAAGTTCAACGTCTCGTTTCTGTCCAGAGTCTATCCAGAGTCTGCGCTATTCCCTCCAGAGGTTATGATGACTGATCATAATGTCTGTGTTTATAAACTAAAGGTCTCGCACACGCGCTTGTCTGGGGTTTAGTTTCGTTTTCTACTGTGAAACGACCGATTAGTGCAAAACAAACGCAATGCGGATGTGCGATTCAACGAAGCATACGCGGAAAAACCCAAGAATACTCTGGGCTTAAATGCAAACATTACATTTAAAGACTGGCTAAATGTGTGAGTGTGTGTGTTTGAGAGAGAGAGAGCGAGAGAGTGTGTGTGTGTGTGTGATACTGATATCATGCATAGAATTTAACGGTCAGTAGAAGAAGAGAATTTCTGGTCAATACTGATGAAAAGGAAACTCGCACACCTATTAGGAAGATTAATTTAGATGTAATTGATTCTGAAAGGAAACGAGGCTGAAGTGTGTCATGGGATTCACTATGGAGATGATAACAATCCCAAACCAACAGCGGAGAGATAATCTGTCATCAGCAGCTCAGTTTCTATTTCTATTTCCATTAGCCCCGCCCACCTGAAATCTCATTGGTCCGAACTCTTGCTCCACATTAAAATAAAAGAAATTTATTTATTTATTTTAAAAAATAAATACGACCGGGTTCAATTTTCTGCGTTTTTCGCATCCGTAGCTCAAGCAGTTCGAATGGTGTTTTGACAATTCAGAGCAACCGAATCACAAATACGGAAAAAAAAACGCATACGAAAATTTCGGACTCAGTGTGCAAGGACCTTTAGGATTACATACATTTTGGCTGGTTATAATTTTGAAATGTGAGATTTTACTCAAAACATTTCCAACGAGTCTTCACAGTGGCGTTCTGCGAGCCGCTGTACGGCAGCGTGTGATTGGTTCTCGGGTCAGCAGCCCCAGCCGGCCACTGTACGGCAGCGTGTGATTGGTCCTCAGCACCCGCAGCCCCAGCCGGCCGCTGTGATTGGTCCTCAGCACATGCAGCCCCAGCCGGCCGCTGTGATTGGTCCTCAGCACCCGCAGCCCCAGCCGGCCGCTGTACGGCAGCGTGTGATTGGTCCTCAGCACACGCAGCCCCAGCCGGCCGCTGTGATTGGTCCTCAGCACCCGCAGCCCCAGCCGGCCCCGCCCAGGTCTCTGCTGCTGAGCTTGAAGCCGTCGCTGACGCTCTCGGTGAACACCGGGCCTCCGTGCCTCAGGATGAGCTCGCTGGCCATCGTGACGAACGCCTGCTCCACATTATCAGAGTGTTTTGCTGAGGTCTCGATGGCACTGATGAAGTCCAGCTGATTCGCCATGAGCTGGGCGTCGGAAAACTGAACCTGGCGGAGATCCGGCAGGTCCGACTTATTCCCTGGATCACGCAAGAGGGAGGATTCAAGAGTTACCAACACAGGTTACTTAAAGAGGCCACTTGATGCTACTCATTCTTTGTTATTCGCAACTACTTGATAGTTTAACATGCTTCAAAGGTGCAGTGTGTGATGTTTAGCGGCATCTAGTGGTGAGGTTGTGAATAGCACCCAACAGAAGTTACGGTGGCCGACAGGAAGTGATGTTGTCGTCTGAGACAGCAGAAAGTAGCCAGTTAAACAATAAGGTTACTTTACAAAGATCTATAAGGAAATTATGTTTACTTGATTATTCAGTAAAACGATGTTATTGTGAATGTTATTGTCACTCGTTCATCATTGTGTCAGTGTTTTACTCGCTGACTTTAGCAGCTTCTTTACACGAAGAACAACATAGTGACGAAACGCGCTTGTCCGCTCAGGGCCACCGTAGAAACATGTGGATGTAAGCGGACCCGTGGTGTGTGTAGAGAGAAACGCCTCATTCTGAGCTAATAAACAAAAACCCTTCATTATGTAAGATCTTTATGCACCACTGAAAACACAGTTATGTTTATGATATTGCATTTCTGTCAACAGATCCTCCTAAATATTACACACTGCACCTTTAATGTACTGTACATTATTTCCTATATTCCCAGTCTGTCTGAAACACTGTGATTTCTATTCATGTAAGATGAAGAATTCAATAGAGTTCACTAACACAGTTTCTCATCCTTCCCTCGGGTCATTTTGACCCGGAAATCAGTTTTGAAAAATGTTTAAACATTGAATTTCATCAGAGGGTCCGAGAATCCAGGACTTTTGTTACACTTGAACCACAAATACACACACAATTTTTTTTATTGGATTCAAGGAGTTTTGTGGTTGTAACAAAAAGTAACAAATCCTTCCCTCTCGGGTCGATCTGACCCCCTTAGGAATGCTTCGGTACACACAGAAAAACTTTAAAAAATGCTCTTTTTTTTTACTAAATTCCAAATTTTGAAGTTAATTCAAATTCAAATGTAATATCTACTCTGTATGCGATTTCGGACGCAGTGTGTGACTTGTCGCCACCTACTGGCAGTTTTAGTATACTTTCTATTATTTTAAAGTCTCCCTGTGGTGAAAATCCAGCTTTTAATGTTGCTTGTTTATGTGTCTATGTGGTGTTTTTAATACGCTTTAAGACAAACCATGTGTAAATTCATAAGTCGACAGCATTGCTGAGTATTTCCTCCTTAAAACTGCAGTGAACCAAAGACAGTCTCAAAAACACGGTTTGAAATCGCTGGTGTTTCTGACGTCACACACTACCTTGTAACCAATCAGATCAACGTGTGATCGTCAACCAGTGGATCTCTGAGCTGAGGGAGTGAGTGGAGGCGGGGCTCATTTGCATTTTCATAGAACCGCGCATACTAAATGAGGCAAGGGTGTCGAGTTACATTCAAGATATTTTAAGGCATAAAGGAAAAAATAATTTGGTGATCAAAGTCGAGTTTTAAGGGATACAATTATTGACTACAGGGGGAATATAATTAATTTAATTTATTAACTCTATATTGAAAACTTTAAATAAAATTATTTTATTTAAATAAATATAAGTTTAAGAATTTGACATAAAAGATGAAAAAAGAAAAAAATGCTCCTACAAAAGAAAAAGCCCCTGTAAATAAATTTAAGGAGGCAAATATTGTCCAGTTATGGGAACGATGATCATAAGGAGCTCATTCATTTCTGACTGCTTAAATGTTCCTGAAAAGAAATGCAAGCATCGATCCCTGGAAACACGATGCAGGAGAGCATGGACACGCATCAGACGGCCTCTGTGCAGCAGTGGAGGTGAAAAATTACAGCCTCACGTTGTGTCGATCACGTCACAAACTTGTGTCCGTCATTAAAAAAAAAATTGTATCGGGTTTGCTTTTCTGCGTTTCCGCATCCATAGCCAGCGTTTGAGAGGCGATTTAACAGTTCAGAGCCACCGAATCATGAAACTTTCAGACTCAGTGTGCAAGACCTCCACAGTTCACACACACACACACGCTCGTTTGGTCCTTCACTCACCGATTAGGAGAGGCACGATGTTGGAGCCGCCGTACTTCTTCACGTCCTCCATCCACTGCGGCACCGACATGAACGAGCCCCTGTTTGTGATGTCATACGTGATGATGGCGCCGTTAGCGCTGCGATAATAACTCTGAGTGATCGTGCGGAAGCGCTCCTGTCCGGCGGTGTCCCAGATCTGCAACTACACACACCACCAGTGTTACCACTGCGATCATAGGCACTGCTGTGCTTATATATTTCTAAGTATTAGACACACTCTATATTAGGCGTCTTTAACCCTTGTGTTCTGTTCGAATTCTGTGTACTCCCCTTATGGACCGGGTCAAACTGACCCTAATTGGATTCAATACAATTCCTCAAAAATCACACTATGAAAAAGAACAAAGATTTAGATACAAACTGTAAACTTTTAATATCAACATTTGTCAAACATTACAAAAACATTATATCTGAAAATATGATTTATGAAAATGTTTTTAAAACATTTTTAAAAACATTTTTGTTTTGACAAAATTGGAAAATAAACAGTATACTGATTTTTTTTGCATATATTATTTTTTTCCTTTTTTTTTTTTTTTTTTTTTTTTTTACATTTTATGCTTTGAACATCGTAACTGAACAAAAAAAAATTGCTGTATAATGAAAATTTTTCATTTTCCTAAGTTTACTTTGCCTAGTTTCCTAAGACCTATTTTCCTAGTTTCATTATTCACTCACTGGGAAGTGAGAAACCAAACATAACAAAAACATACATCAAATAAATGTTTTTTTTTTATTTTTTGGCTCTGTGAAGCTGCCTTTGAAAATCCTACATAAAAGTTTTGGTTAAAAGCTAAGTATTTTAGATATTTTGAATATTGAAATGAGAGCTTATTTTACTATCTGTGTCTGACAAAGATTTTCATTTGTAATTTGCAAATAATTCTGAACACTGTAATTTTAGCTTTTTCAAGTGTGTTTGGATAGGGTTAGAGCACTTTTAGATGCACTTGCACGTTAGAACTGGAGTTGAAGTGCCCTTACATACAGAAAATAATGTTTTTATTTTGTGTCTGTACAGTTGCTTTTGAATGGCTGCCTATGAGGGTCAAATTGACCTGCGAACATCACGAACGTAACAGTAATTTTGTTAGTATATGTCAAAACACATCAGCATGTTGAAACTTTGCATGCATGTTCATCATAATAAATGAGAAAAAGTCACAAAATATCAAGAAAAAAAACAAAGGTTAACCAGTATTTCCAACAACTTGAAAATCGAAACGGGTCAAATTGACCCGCAACATAACACAAGGGTTAAAGAGGATGAAAACCTTTTCACAATATTCTAATTTTGACTTTGGGTTTTCATAAGCTTTAACTAAGCCATAATCATCAAAATTATAACAAATAAAGGCTTGAAATATCTCACTTTGCATGTAATGAGTCTATATAATATATTAGTTTCACCTTTTAAGTTAAATTACTGAAATAAATGAACTTTTGCACGATAGTCTAATCTTTCGAGTTTCACCTGTATATCGGCCGATATATGTTCAGTTTAATGTTACCGTTATCGGCCCGATAAGAACATTTGCCCGATATATAATAATAAATAATGTATTATTTCCTTCAGCTGAGACTCTTCAGATGTTCAACATGATGGTTCTTGATGATTGCTTGAAATATGATTGAAATTTCTTTTTTTTTTAAAAGGAAAATACAGTTCAGTGCAGCACAAGTCTGTCATATCGGCTACATATTACAATTGTGTGTTTGGGACGTGGACTTTAATGATGAGACTTTTGTGTCTTTAATCAGGCTCTTAAAAATGATATAAAAAATTGGATTTGGATTTAGATTTATCAGCCAATATACCACCTTTCAAATATAAAGAATTATCGGTTATCGGTATCGGCTACTATATACTAAATTATCTGTAAAAGGATGAGTTGTTTAAGCGTTCATTGTATGTTTGTGCGTACCAAGTCGTGTTGTGTTGATGTATTCACTTGCTAGAATTCAATTGACATTTGAAAATTACGGCATACAACAAACTTTTATATTATTTTAAAGATATTTCCAAAATATCCTCTTGTGTTTCACAGAAGAAAGAAATGCACACAGGTTTGGACTGACATGAGGGTGAGTAAACGAGTCGAATGAATTAGCATGTTTGATTATATTAAGGAACTCTCACAGCGAATGCATAATGAAGCTGAAGAAAACTCTGTTCCGATCATCTAAACACATTCACCGGCTCTGCCGTTCAGCTGAAACAAGCACAAGAAACACACAGAAATAATACAAAAATGAAATATCAGCAAACCCAGATATAATGTTTAATAAATAGGTCATTTGTATGGTGGAATTTAATCATTAAACTGTTAAATAAAGCAAGATTAAGTCCATTAAGTGATGTAGTTGTACTTTTTAATTATGAAGTAAAGTGTTATTTCCTTGTTTAACTCATTGAGGATCAGAAAATCTGTGTTTTAGTATCTGGTTTTGCACCAAACTTTATTTCTAGGTTAAAGGGATACTTTAGGATTTAGCATTAAAGGGATACTTCAGATCAAATACAGATGAATGTGTATTTAAAATGGGTCATTTATGTAGAAGAAATGTGAAATTATTTTTGAATTTGGAGCTTTCTAGACTGAGAAAAGCCAGAAAATGTATTTTTGGCTTATGTGGATGAAAGACAACAACTCCCAGAATGCACTTGCTTCGCTGCCCTAGGAGGCCACGCCTACCGGTAACAGAGCGCAGTAGTCAGTGTTGCCAGATGTACGATAATTATCGTATTTGTACGATAATTTTGACCTCTGTACGATGTACGATCAATGAAAAAAATCCCATAATGTACGATAATTTCAGAATTTTGTGACACTTAAATCGGAGGTCATTGTAATCATAGTGTTTCTCGGTTAATACTCATTGATCTAGCTGTGGATCTACGTCATGATTGTGAGGAGAAAGTGAAGGTGAGAGAGCACGGTAGAGAGGGAGAGAGCGAGAGACCCTGGTGCTGCGTCATGAACCCCCCATCCCCCCCTCCGTCAACAATCCAGTCAACATCACTTGTCTAAGCTGTTTTCTGTCCGTTTGACTCGTGTACGATAATTTTCTTACAAATACAATAATTTTGAGCTTCTGGTACGATACTTGGATATTTCCAATCTGGCAACACTGGCAGTAGTTAAACAACAAGTCTAGGCTACTAGTGAGTCTCAGTGATGAGTCCCGAAAATGTGTTTCGAGATTGCCCAAAATGTCCGGGATTCGGCTTTTGCGTTCTACAGTCGCCATTCATTATGTTTACTGTGGCGAGCAGGACGAGGCTAGGGCCGCGGGAGACGGCGCGAGGCCGGTGGCGTGATTACCGATGAGCGACACCTGTGAGACGTGACCTGTGAGACAATGCTTAAAGGCATTAAGCATTGTATTAATAGAAAACCTGTAGTATTTTCGAATTACCATCCTTTCCACCCTCATATCCCCCTGAGACGAGAGATTTATGCATTTTTTGTCTGGAAAAAATCCTCCGATGACGCAAAAATCGTCATTTTGCTCATCGGAGGATTTTTTTGGCCAGAGGCTAAAGACTAAAGCCAGTAGTAGGGGCTGTCCCACATGTTTTCAACCCGCCCATAGAGGGTGGGATCTCACTCACAGAATGTAGAGTGTCAGCCATCTTTTTTTTGGAAGCTAAGCTAGCAGGCTCTTGTTCTGTGGAGAAAGCCGAGTAGGTAGGGGTTACTTTATCCTCTTTTTCCCGGACATGTCCGGTCGTCGATGTCCGGGATCAGGGGCGTAGCAAGCTTTTCAAAAGTGTGGGGGATGGATGTGGTCAGGGCTGTAAAGCTATGATGTGATGACTTCTGTCCCTCTAGGGGGGTTTGGGGGTATGCTCCCCCGAAAGAAAAATTTGTACATTTTAAGGTTAAATGCATCAATCTGGTGCACTTTGAGAGCTCAAAATTAAGAGCTTCAACCGACTTCGACCCATGAACTGTGCACACTGAACAAAGAAAAAGCATTGACTTGTACCTAAAGAGGGCTCAAACATCTTTTTAGTTATGATATAGAGTCTCAGTCTACATTACATTATCACTGGTGTTTTAGAATGCCAAACATTTATTCTAATAATATAATAATGATTTATAATTATTCCTATGATTGAAAATCCATATAGCCTATAAATGTATGCTACAGTATAAATTAAAATTAATATTTCAAAAGTATAGAATAGGAAAATTACAATACTTTTGTCCTAATTTCCCACTTGCAAGAAATTTGGAGATGTAAATAAACATAACCATAAGTTCCCGCCTCCTCAGCACGAGCTGACTGATAAATCCATGGATAAATCTCTAACACAGCAAGAGAGGCGGGACTTAAGGCAGAACAGCCAATCATCAGCCGGTCACACTCAAAGCCGGTGTCATGTTCGAGAGGGAGGGGGAGAGGAGGAGCCGCTGCGAGCGCGCACACAGAGCAGCCAGAGAAACGGAGGAGCGACTGTAGTGAGGCGTTTGTGCAAAACTGCGGAAAAACTGCAGAAAAAGTGCGGGTGTTGAACCCTCTCACCAGGAAAACGGGTGCGACGCCCCTGTCCGGGATTCAGCTTTGCATTCTGCAGTCGACATTCATTGTTTACATGCACACCTTTTGTTTCAATCTAACTGAATTCATTCCGATTGGTGAATCTGAATGTAGTGTTTACATGAACACTAAACAAGTGATCGGTCGATGTGCGTTTTAACATTGCTAAGAAAATTCCCGCTCCTCCGTGAGAGATACGAGACCGGGTGCGTCTCAGTCGCTCATCGGTAATCACGCCACCAGCCTCGCGCCGTTCTCCCGCGGCCCTAGCCTCGTCCTGCTCGCGCCACAGTAAACATGATGAATGGCGACTGTAGAACGCAAAAGCCGAATCCCGGACATTTTGGGCGATCTCGAAACATATTTTCGGGCAGACTCGTCCCGAAGACTCACTAGTAGCCTAGACTTGTTGTTTAACTACTGCGCTCTGTTACCAGTAGGTGTGGCCTCCTAGGGCAGCGAAGCAAGTGCATTCTGGGAGTTGTTGTCTTTCAGCCACGTAAGCCAAAAATACATTTTCTGGCTTTTCTCAGTCTAGAAAGCTCCAAATTCAAAAATAATTTCACATTTCTTCTACATAAATGACCCATTTTAAATACACATTCATCTTTCCAGAGGTGAAGTATCCCTTTAAAGAGAGAAAAAACCCTGACATGCACTGTGGCTCAGTCACTGTTAGATCATCGGTTCTGCAGATCAGCAGTGATGAACCATACACCGAAGCTATGAAGAAGTTTATAAAGTAATCCGACCATTTTACATATGTAATCCATACGGATCCAGGGGTTAATATAATCACTGGCTTCTGGTAAATATGTATATTTTATTTTATTAGGAAGGCTTGAGGGCGAGTAAATTATGGGATAATGTTCATTTTTGGGTGAACTATCCCTTTAACAATAATCTAGGTTATTGCATAACTGTGTAACTTTAAGCCCTAAACCAACAAAACAAAACAAAACAAACTTCTCAGTGTTTCGCTTTTAAGTGCTCCACGTCATGAGTGTCAACGTCGACAGTTGAGACTATAAACCGATAACAGTCACAGATATTATTATAAAGCTCATGTATTATTGCTCAATGAAGAAGAACATTAACCATTATTTCCTGAAAGCTTCTTACACGACTCGGGAATGTGTGACAACAACAGCGACGCTATTTTAGTGAAGGGAACTTTGTGACGATGTGTACAGACTTCATAAAGATGACACTGTGTGAGTCCTATAACCATAAGGCATAATAATAACTGTCCTAGCAGTGAGTCACGAACCTTCACCCGCTTGCCCTGGATGTCCAGGGTCTTCATGGTGAAGTCCACGCCGATCGTGTTGCCCTGTTTCTCCATGAACAGCCCACTCTTGAAGCGCTGCACCACACACGTCTTCCCGACTCCGACATCTCCCACGAGAACGATTTTAAACACTAAATCGTAGTTTTCATCAGAATCCTGGGATGACATCTCTGTGCTCGTGCTCGTTCTGACTGACGTGGAGAGAAGACTACATCGGGGGCGCGCCTTTAGGTGTCTCAGCGCAGCGCCTGACAGTAATGGGAAGTTCGGATCTTTCTATTGACTCGGATCTTTGTAATTCCGTTCATTTCAGCAGAATATAATTGTTACGTGATGTAATAGCCAAATACATCAAATGTTTATCACACTTTAGAACAAGAAAAAAAATGTGCAATGCAAGATCAAGGCTAAATTATGAGAAACAAAAATTATTAATTCATTGCTTATCTGGGTCTTTGCTTTCCCGCGGCGATTATACTAAATAACATACACACTGGTTATATTTCAAATATTTTCACCAGAACGCTCACATTATAACCAATGATTATAACAAACGATACAGTAGTGCTGTGGGAGGAGTTCTGACGTCAACATCCAGCCAACCAATCATCGGCCTGCATTTCAAAATTAAATGCGTTTGATCTGATCGTTTGTTTGAAGATTCATAATCAATGACTTCTTTTTTTTATTATTATAATTATATAAACTTTTCCCCTCACAATTCTGCTCTAATGTGGTTTTTATTCAGCTCTCTAAAATTAAATTGTAGTGTAAAAACCGGCATTGCTTTTGTTGCATTTCTATATTTCTCTGTTGCATTACTTATGAATAGATTTAACTTGTTCAGGAAATTATAATTGGATGATTTCTGCATTGATCAGGGGCCCGTGGAAACGTTTAGCGAAAAGCAGTGTCAAAATATATAAAAAATATATTAAAAAACCTTTATTCAAATAAATAAATAAATAATTACAATAAATAGATCAAAATAAATACATGCAATTTTAATGACATGGTAAATAAATAAAAAAATTTTTCTTAAAACATGATTTAAATAAATGACTAAAACTTGATTTAAATTAATAGAAATACAAATGCAGTGTAAAATGTAAAAGTAAATAAATACAAATAAATTTAAACTAAATAAATATATTGAATGAAAATAAATAAGTGAAATTTGATTTAAATAATAAATTAATAGAGTTTTATTAAATAATTAACAAACAATAAATAAATGAATAGAAAAATTACTAGAAAAAACGCAATGATGAAACACAATCTTTTACACATAATATAAAAATGAATATTATAAATGTGTCAAATATTTTGTTTCAATAAAATGTCATCATTGCGGTTTTTCTAGTAATTTTTCTATTAATTTCATCATTAATTGGTATTTATACATGAAAATATATCAGGACGTTGAGGATTTGAAAGCCCGCTGCACTGGTGGACAGATACTGCGCATGTCCAGTAGAGGGCGCCACACGCGCGCTTTTGTGATGACACGTGATGACGTGGGGAACGAATGGCGGAAGTGACGATAGAGGCGCGTAAAGTTTAAATTTGTTCCAGGTGACGACGAGGGACGTGAGCCTGAATTTGGTCAGTACAATAGTTTGGTATTAGTTATAGATTCTGAATAATGTCGGGCCGACAGGGTGAAAAAGAGGGTAATATAATGCTGTGAGTTGTTTATAATGTGCCAGTGATCGTGATTGTTCGTGACAGGATCTGTCGACGCTTCTGCTGTAAATATCGCCTGACTGACTGGATTAATGTGGTTTATTGATGTAGTTTCTTCTTTTGGAGCAGCAGGGATGAATGAAAACACTTTCCCGGTGTATAAGGTGGATGTAATTGTGCAGTTCTACCGAACCGAAGTTCTGACTGGACAAGAGGCCAAACACTTCACCAAGAATGACATCACTCCCAACCCAAAGGTGAACATATACATGATTACGTTGGAATAATAAATAACATTTTAACAACGTCACCTTATATCCAGTGTAAATCAGCTGTTTTCTATGTGAATATATAGTAAAGTGTAATTTATTCCTGTGATCATAGCTGAATTTTCAGGATCATTACTCCAGTCTTCAGTGTCACATGATCCTTCAGAAATCACTCTTATATGATGATCTGATGCTCAAGAAACATTTATGATTATTATCAGTGTTGAAAAGTCATTTTTTGTGAAAACTGTCAAACATTTTGTTTTTCATGATTCTTTGATGAATAGAAAGTTCTAAAGAACAGTATTTATTTTAAATAGAATTTTCGTAACATTATAAATGTCTTTACTGTCACTTTTGATCAATTTAATGCATCCTTGATTAATGAATGTATTCATTTCTTTCAAGGGAAAATGACTAAACCATCAGGGTACTTAATGAGGAAAAAATATTACCTGGTAATAATAATACTGGCAAACATTTACAGTCCCCCTGTAGTCAATCATTTTATCCCTTAAAACTCGTCTTTGATCACCAAAATTACACATTTAAACGTTTTTTTCCTTGAAAAAATGTCCTCATGCCTTAAAGCTGCAGTCTGCAGTTTTTCCTCTTTGTCGCCATCTTTGTTCGAAATCTGCAATTGCAGTCATTTGCGGAATTATCAACTTTACATGAGTTGTACTTCAACACCCTCGACACGGCACAGCACGGATGAACACAATTTTTTGAGGAGAGTGTGAGGCTGTCAGTCACCGCGCCGGTGTGGATACTGGCATTCAGAATCACAGATTATTATTTTTAGAAGTATGACCAACATAATAATTTTCACTGGAAAATGTCATCTGAACTAGTAAGAAACACCCACCTTTGTTCTGGTTCTGACATTGCAGTAAATTGCGCTGATTAAATCTAAAAATCGCTTATAAGTTATCATATCACCCAAAACCGTGCAAATTAGGGCTGGGCGATAAGGCCAAAAAAAATTATCACAATATTTTGTTTTATATCAGTCGATATCGATAATTATCACGATAAATGTCAAATCTTTATTTCTTTCAAGTTTAAAGGCAAATTTTTGCTCCTAAGTGAAAGTTGTATAAATCAGAGCGTTGTGGTTGTAAAAATCTGAGGTAGAATCAAACATTTGTCATTTTACCTTAACAAAATAAATATCTGAAAAGAAAAATATTTCTTCAGCACAGTTTGCAGTGCAGGCTGCAATATTCAAATTACATGTTTTGTCTCGAAATGCATATTTGACAGTGAGTTGACAGTAAATCTACATCCTAACTCAAGCTAATGCTATTATGTTAAATTTATGTTCATTAACAAAAACAGTACCATCTGTTTTTTTTTGTTTTGTTTTTAATTTAAGGACCACATTTTTATTTGGTGAAATTTAATATTCTGACTGTTTGAGTTTTATTAAAATTAACCATTGGTCATCCAGTATCATGCATTTAGATCATGATAACCACAGATAAAGCCAGGTACAGCCTATAGCACCTCACTATCATGGCAAAATGTAACTTTATGGTTTCTATGGTATTTGTATGAAAAACAGTAGCCTAACAGTTAAATACATTATTAAATACTGTAAATATATTCCATTAGTAATTTAATACATTGTCTACATTAATAATGTTATACAATTCAATATGTATATCCCACATTTCATGGTGCAGTTAATATTACTAGGCTAACGTTACAGTAAATCCATGGTAGGCTAAATGGATTCAGTATCAATTCAGATTCTGACTGTTTCGCTGCGCAGTGTTTCTCCTGTTTGTCAGCGGTGTTTCATCTGCCTTTAAACTGATTTAAACTGGACATTTGTGTTCTTCGCTGAACTTAAGCGCTTCTCACTGGATCTCGTGAGCGAGACGATCAGAGTAAACGCGCCTGCTCTAGTCTAGTGAGCTCGCGCTGCCATTTGGACTTTGAGCCGAGCGGATAAACGGTCCGTGTGACGCGCGGTTCAAATGTGTTTCGTTCGGCTTTTGGCGCATACACATTATCGAACATTTATCGACCTCTTGATATCGTTTTATCGAGAAAAATTATATCGCGATAATTATCGTTATTGTTTTATCGCCCAGCCCTAGTGCAAATTATACTTTGTTCTCAACTTGTTAATGTTAAAAACTTCCGATATTATCCTTGTTTCCGCATGGGTCCGGTTGCAGTCTCTTTTTTTTCTGAAGTCCGAACGAAGTCCTTTGCTTTTTACAGCGAGTGAATCTGTTGTCACTGGTGATTGACTGTCGTTTGAACCTTTCTGGATCCGCCATCAAATTAATAAGTTTAATTATATCAAGTGCTGTGAGAAAAGGCTATAAATCTCCACCTCCAACATCCTCACACGCAATATAGCCGACTAGCCGAGACTCCTTTATGTGTACAGATGTGTGTGTGTGTGTGTGTGTGTGTGTGTGCAGATGTGTGTGTGTGTGTGTGCAGATGTGACGAAATGACGCAAAGACATGCTCGAATCTCCCGCGGAAATCCACCAGTTCCACTGGAATTTAAAACATTATTACAAGCTTACCGCTTTGAATCGAGCTAAAGCAACCAGAGAGTTTTGAACACTGGCTGGTTATGTATTTTCTCAAATATGTATTGTGGATAATTTTTAACCCAAAAAAAGCTACGGACTGCAGCTTTAAAATATCTTGAATGTAACTCGACACTCTTGCCTCATTTAGTATGCGCGGTTCTATGAATATGCAAATGAGCCCCGCCTTCACTCACTCAGCTCAGAGATCCACTGGTTGACGATCACTCGTTGATCTGATTGGTTACAAGGTAGTTTGTGACGTCAGAAACACCAGCGATTTCAAACCGTGTTTTTGAGACTGTCTTTGGTTCACTGCAGTTTTAAGCAGAAAATACTCAGCAATGCTGTCGACTTATGAATTTACACATGGTTTGTCTTAAAGCGTATTAAAAACACCACATAGACATATAAACAACATTAATCTGTTTGTTTTTCAGGCCGAATCCATTCAGAGACTCTACATGAGGGTTTTGCAGCTTCTGTTTCGGTTCAGACCCGAGTGCCACTACACGGTGCGTGTGGGGTTTACATGCGTTATCAGATCTCAGAGTCTCGATGTTTCATGAATGATGCTCCTGTCTCCCGCAGGTGCCGCTGTCTGAGAACGTGCAGTTCCCAATGCTGTACGAGTGGGTGTCTCCGGTCATGAGCGTCTACATGCGCATGTGAGTGAGAGGGCAGTGTGTTACTCAGCGTCTCCTCTGAACGATCTCATGTTTACTTCACTAATCCACGTTTCTTTCAGGTGCCAGTTCTTGCCGCTGTGTCACGTATATGATTTTTCCCTGAATGACTTGCTCAACCCCAGTAAGTGGCTTCTCTTCTCTCTCAGGGCTCAACCGTGAGAATTACTTCTGCTGGTTTTTATTTTTTGCCCTGACAACGTTTTCATTGGCCGTGCCGCAAAAGAATGAGGATGTAGGGAAAGAGTGGATGTTTATTTGTAACAATGTTCTGGATTGCGTAAGAGGAGTGGCTTTCTGTGTTAATAACAGTTTTATAACTTTTATTTATTTATTTTTAAACACTCACATGATATCAGGGTTATTATCGTTAACTAAAACTATAAAAAAAAAAAAAAAAAAATCAATTGAAATAAAGGTGTGAAAAAAATATTATTTGAAAAACATTTAAATGAAAATTAGAAATGTTGCCTTGGCAAAAAAACAGAAATAATTTGTAAGTAGGGCTGCATGATTATGACAATCATAATTGTCGATTATTTCCTTGAAATTGTAATTGTGGTTATTAATATATATATGACAAATTTAAATTCTGCTGTAAAGCAGCTCTACAGAAGACAGTGTTATTTGGCTCTAGAGCAAAAACCTGATACATACAGTTTCACATTTTTATTGCATAAAGTGTAGAGCTGATATGAAAGGTCCTGCTGAGCTGATTGTTTTTCTCGCCACTTCTGGCAGAGTTGAAGCGAACGATCACTATTCTGAGTGCGATCCAGAACTTCCTGCACTTCCGGAAGCAGAGGCTGGAGCTGACGGCCGCACACCAGCAGAGCTTCGTAAGTCGACGTTTCTCTGCAACGTTTATAAGGAATGTCAGCTTTTTGTTGTCCACAAATTCCTAATTAATTCAGCTGGAAATGCTTAACGTGTTGCAATCATCTTAGAGAATTGTAGTCGTAGTTGAGCTAAACCTCTTGCTTTATATCAAGTTGAGATTTGAGGATCTACAGTGATGTACATTAATACTTGACTGCTAATCCCTCTGTGGGAGACTGAGCTACAGCTACGGCATCATATGACCCGTTTAAGCACATGTCGTCTCACAATGGCTACGTTTACATGCATCAAACTTCAAGGGTTAGTTCACCCAAAAATGAAAATTGTCATTAATGACTCACCCTCATGTCGTTCCAAGCCCGTAAGACCTCCGTTCATCTTCGGAACACAGTTTAAGATATTTAAGATTTAGTCCGAGAGCTTTCTGTCCCTCCATTGAAAATGTATGTACGGTATACTGTCCTTGTCCAGAAAAGGAAATAAAGACATCATCAAAGTAGTCCATGTGACATCAGTGGGTTAGTTAGAATGTTTTGAAGCATCGAAAATACATTTTGGTCCAAAAATAACAAAAACTACGACTTTATTCAGCATTGTATTGTCTTCCGCCCAAGCTTCGTTTACAGTCTGAGGGAGACTCACGCTGTAAACAAAATAATTTTCGCAAACATGTCTAAGGATTTCGACACAGAGGAAGACTTGCGTTTTTTTGCCCAGCCATATTTATTTGAACCCGAATACACGGACACACCAGATACACGTCAGCAGCGTCTTGCGTCACTGCGGACTCGTCAACGCGGATCCACAACAGAACCGGAAGACAATCCAATGCTGAATAAAGTCGTAGTTTTTGTTATTTTTGGACCAAAATGTATTTTCGATGCTTCAAAACATTCTAACTAACCCACTGATGTCACATGGACTACTTTGATGTCATTATTTCCTTTCTGGACAAGGACACGTCACATGTTCATGTAAACACTACACTCTGATTCATCAATCGGCATGAATTCACTCCGATTGAAACAGAAGTTGTGCATGTAAGCGCAGCCCATGTGACTGACGGTGTTGTGTGTGTCGAACAGCGGTGTGATATGGACAGACTCCAGGCGTACACACGAGAAATCAAGGAAGCTGAGAAGAAGATCGAGAAGCTGACGTAAGTGCAGTGGTTTCTTTAAACGTCTATTACTAAAGCTGCTTCTTTCTGAGTGCATCAATCCTCCCTTCACAGAACCATTCCCCCGGAGCAGCAAGCGGAGGCTAAAGAGCTAGCGTCTGCCCTGGCGGAGCTCACCGCTAACACACAGCGGGAATACCAGGATGTGGTAAGCCCTCAATGATTGCAGTTAATGAAATATTACCTAAGGGCGTTTACACACACGGCTCGTTTGGAGTGTTAGTGCTGGGCGGTAGCACCAACATCCATATTACGGAATTTTTCACGGTATATGACGTTTTTTATTTTTTATTCAAGCATGACTGGGTGTTAACCACATTTTCTACTGATTGAGAGGGGAAATACTGCAGTAGATGGACTTACTTTACTGAATATTGAAGAGAAAATCCACACTAGTATTAATACAGGTTTGCAGTGTTCATAAAGAGCCCAGCAGGAGGCGCTGTAGCAGCGGCTGGGTTGCCAGATGCCAGCAAGGTTTTCCAGCCCAAAACCTCGTCAAAAACCACGCGAATGGACAAAAAAACACCCAATTTTTTTTTTTTTTGGTTTGTTTTCTCGTTTAAACACATTGAAATCATGAACAAGCTTTAAAATGACCCATTGGTCGGTGTACTTTTGCGTCCATTCTATTTTCCTTTTTTAACCCGTAATTGAAAAATTACCGGTTGTTGTATTTTTAAAACGCAAAGTTGAACACCTAAATTTGAATTTGAACTGTAGGCCTATACACCAAATGCTGTGCAAAAATATATATAGCCTATATATATTGACGTATATTTTCAGATTTTTGTTTATGACTTTTTGCCCCTTTATTAAACATTTAAAATATTCACAAATTAATATAGACAAAATTGTTTTCTAAGGTCAAACACTATATTTCTAAGGCTATAGATGATTTATAGGCTTTTAATAATAAATGTTTCTGAAAAAGTAACTAGGCATTTTAATTGTTTATTAATACACTAGTATATTCTAAATTGGCTGGAAACATACCTCCATCCGTAAAGCGGATGTGCCTTTAGATAAGAAAATTATATGGATTACATAATCAGACTGTATTTGCTTTCGATTCGAATTTGTTCGTTTAAAAGTTGACATGTCAAGCTTTAGCCTACATAGGCTATATTTTGTTTTAGTTCATTTGAGATGCGATCCAGTTCACGGAGACCATAAAAGAGCGCGACTGATTGTTTTGTTTTATTTTATTTTACAAAAGCACAATGTTTTCTTGTTATTGTGAGTTTACACAAAAGTAGTTGTGAATGATGTATTTTTTTATTTTCTATGACCAGAAATGATAGAGTATTTTAAGTTGTTTCCACTGTTGATAGAAAAACGCAAGTATTCGCGCCCGCGCCTCCGTGCAGCAAGCGCGCTCCACACTCCGCACTCCGCACAAACACTTGCTTGGATATGCGTCAACTTGTTAATTTGTAATAATCTTAGCCCTGTGTTCATTTGTAATAATCTTAGCCCTGTATTATTATTGTCTAACCAGTAGGCTATTATGACTGACATCTGACCAATTGCTTTGTTCCTTTTTTGGATAAAAGCGTCTTCTAGCCAAAATGTAGGCTAATAATAATAATGACAATTATTATTTGCCTTTATAACTATAAATGAGTTCACTTAAGACAGTAATATGTTTATCATAAAATAATGTATTATTGTTTTATTTTTATATAACCTAACATTTAAAGTTTTTGAATTGTGTTTGTTTTAGGCTAGAAGTCTTTTATTGCTTATTATATTATAGGCTACTGAGCTTTTTCCTTTTAAAAATTTGACTTTAAAGATACAAGTAAATGTAGTTTTTTTTAGAAAATTAAGAAATGATCAATTTTGAAAAATAAAGTTTAAACACAATGGTATCCGTGCAGCCGGCCGCACCTAAACAGCTGGCCTGATTGAATCAGCCGGCATAGACAAATCCGCGAGTAGCTACATTTTACAGCCTATACGGCTTATAAACTGAGGAGACGAATTGCAAAACCGTGTTTTGTTTGTTTTTCACAGGTGACTTCCCGGGCTCAGTGGACAATTATCTAAATGTTCCAAATCAACGCAAATAAAATTGAGAAATAAAATTTCGTAAAACGGAAAAAAGTTTTGTCGCTTATTTGATTTTCAATTAAATATCTAAGCATTGTATATAAGGAAAATAAGTCTGTATGTGAATATTGTTTCACCAGTCTAAAAACGAATAAAGAAGAAAGCATGCTTTTAGTTAAAAAAGGAATAAGGAATGGACGCAAAAGTACACCGAAGTGGGAGGGAGTGTCTATTGTGAGTTTAGAGGGTACGTCAGCCAGAAGGCAGTGTTGATATTGTGAACCAATGCATGGGAAACACTGTAATACAGCTATCAATTATAGTTTATGGCAACCTAACGAACCAGGGCCGTATCACAATGCATGATGGGTAAATGCGCATGTTGCATGTAAAGCAGCAGTGTTTGTTCTGCTAATGCCTCATGAGCCGTAGGTTAGCCCAGAGATGAAGACCAAGTGAAAGTCTCATTGAAATTTGGTCAGACAAGCATATTTCAGAAAACCGAAGCATAAAAACAAGTTTGCAAGGCGTCTCAGAGATGCTGTGAGCCGAACAGCTGCTCTCTGACTAATGAGAGCACAGCTTACTCACACGTAACTTTTGATCCGTTTAGAAATATTGCCTTGTGAAAGCGGACCAAACCAAGAAGAAATTGTAACGTTTTTAATCACTGATTCGGAACAAAATAAGCAAACTGTGTCTGAAAACGCCCTGAATTTACTTTGCATAATGTTTTGTTGCATAAGTGACGTCTGAATTCTGACCAATATGTCCACCAATAGGGTTGGGAACCGAGAATCGGCTCTTATCCAGAACCGTTAGTGTTTTTGAAAAATACTGAAACGTATCCTTTAACAGCAACGTCTCGCATCATGAACATTACTATAGTAATGAATGCACTGAAAAGCCCTCGCGATACTCGTATACGCTTGCGTCAGTATCAACACAGAGAGAGAGAGTATAAAGACAGTCGAGCTGCACGATTAATTGATCTCGAGTCAAACACCCACTTGATCTTAAATCTGTCTGCGCTGTCGCTGACCCAGAGAGAGCGGTCGTCTATATATATATATATATATATATATATGAAACCGCTTTACTTTCAGCCTTTTCAACCACACAGTTTTGATATTTCTGTGTTACAAATATTCCAATGATCACAGAAGTACTGAGATGAGTTATACACTCACCTAAAGGATTATTAGGAACACCTGTTCAATTTCTCATTAATGCAATTATCTAATCAACCAATCACATGGCAGTTGCTTCAATGCATTTAGGGGTGTGGTCCTGGTCAAGACAATCCTGAACTCCAAACTGAATGTCAGAATGGGAAAGAAAGGTGATTTAAGCAATTTTGAGCTGTTGAGCATGGTTGTTGGTGCCAGACGGGCCGGTCTGAGGATTTCACACTCTGCTCAGTTACTGGGATTTTCACGCACAACCATTTCTAGGGTTTACAAAGAATGGTATGAAAAGGGAAAAACATCCAGTATGCGGCAGTCCTGTGGGCGAAAATGCCTTGTTGATGCTAGAGGAGAATGGGCCGACAGATTCAAGCTGATAGAAGAGCAACTTTTACTGAAATAACCACTCGTTACAACCGAGGTATGCAGCAAAGCATTTGTGAAGCCACAACACGCACAACCTTGAGGCGGATGGGCTACAACAGCAGAAGACCCCACCGGGTACCACTCATCTCCACTACAAATAGGAAAAAGAGGCTACAATTTGCAAGAGCTCACCAAAATTGGACAGTTGAAGACTAGAAAAATGTTGCCTGGTCTGATGAGTCTCGATTTCTGTTGAGACATTCAGATGGTAGAGTCAGAATTTGGCGTAAACAGAATGAGAACATGGCAGGCTGGTGGTGGTGGTGTAATGGTGTGGGGGATGTTTTCTTGGCACACTTTAGGCCCCTTAGTGCCAATTGGGCATCGTTTAAATGCCACGGCCTAACTGAGCATTGTTTCTGACCATGTCCATCCCTTTATGGGCACCATGTACCCATCCTCTGATGGCTACTTCCAGCAGGATAATGCACCATGTCACAAAGCTCGAATCATTTCAAATTGGTTTCTTGAACATGACAATGAGTTCACTGTACTAAAATGGCCCCCACCAGATCTCAACCCAATAGAGCATCTTTGGGATGTGGTGGAATGGGAGCTTTGTGCCCTGGATGTGCATCCCACAAATCTCCATCAACTGCAAGATGCTATCCTATCAATATGGGCCAACATTTCTAAAGAATGCTTTCAGCACCTTGTTGAATCAATGCCACGTAGAATTAAGGCAGTTCTGAAGGTGAAAGGGGGTCAAACACAGCATTAGTATGGTGTTCCTAATAATCCTTTAGGTGAGTGTAGTTCAAGTATAAACACTGATGTCTACGGTAGCAACCAAAACAGAGTAAATCCCCTTTAGAAAGTCGCTGCAAATAACGAGTGTATCGATTACATCTGATGCTTCAACACATTCATTAAGACGACAGTCCGTAACTTTTTTTTGTGTTCAGAATTTACAAAATGTGAGTCAGTGAGTACATCATGAATGCCTTTTTTCAAACGGTGTTCTTGTCTTCTCCTGAATCACTACGGTCAGCCTGTAATATTTGTTTATACTGAAACTACTTTACACCGGTCGGGTCGGCTAAATGTTTATTTTCCTTCAGAAAAATTAATTTTTGCAAAAATAGCTAAATAATGTTGAATTTGTTGACATTACAAGTCTGTTAAACTCATTTGACAAGTTTAAGAAATAAACACTAAAAGGATTGTGCATTTTCCCCTTACTACTATTTTTTTTATTATTAGTTGTTTTAATCATTTTTATTGAATCGGAACCAGAATCGTTTGGCGGAACCGGAACCAATTCCCAACCCTATCCACCAACATGATGCATTAAAACTTGTCATGTGACCCAGTGTTTTCATGCCTTTTTTTTTCTTGTCATGTTAATTTTAAATGTTTTCTCTTTAGACTGCAATGAATGAAATGGTTGCGCAGTGCAAGACGGAAATTGCAGAGATCTCACAGAAACTGGTATGTATCGGATAAGTTTCTCATTTAATTTACCACACTTTTAGTTTGGATGAGGGTTAAAGCCGGCATGTAATGGAAGTAGAGACTGATCTTTTCTTCTGTAATATGACATGTATCAGAGTAAAACAGATTATTGAGAAAGAAAAATATAAAGTGCTGGTAATTGGTTTTAAACCATCGGTCTTGGTTGGATGGAGGCAGATCTTAATGCAACTTGGTTGATTGTTTTGTAAGTGTGTTTCTATGGGCGCAGTTCCTGTCGAGTGACTGTTAATTAGAGATGTGAATCTTCACTTGTCTCACAATCCAGACTCAAAGGAAAGTGGATGTGGCGACGCTGAAGGATGAGATCTCCAAGTTCAAGTCTCAGATCGTGGAGTCGCCCGAAGAGCTGAAAAGCGAGATGGAAAGGATGAAGGAGAACGTGAAGAGCATTAAGATGTCTAAAGTATGTGTCCTTTGCATGTCAAGCAAACTCTCATGTAAACGAAGGTGTGCAACAAGTTGCAAGTAACAACAGGTGTTGTTTTTAACTGCCCAGATCAGCAGGACTCTGTTCTGTCACTGATTGTGTGTGTGTGTGACAGGAGCTGGCCGATGAGAGGCTGGTGGAGCTACAGATGCGGGTCCAGTGTGCTGGTCAGGTGGAGGCAGAACTACAGGTCCTGCTCAAACAACTGCAGGACTTACAGATTAGCATGTGCAAGACCAACCAGCAAAAAGAGGAGGTAAAGATCTCACACGCGTCATACGTTTGCAAGTTCTGACTTTGTTTTCAGAAAGCAAAAATTGTTCAGTCTGATCACACTTAAAATTGTCCAAAAAGTACATTTCTTTAACAGTACACACTAAACGGCAACAGAGAAGAGTCAACTTTAAGATGTCAGTGACATCAAGTAGAGCTGCACGATTCTGTATGCATTGAGAATCACTTTTTGTTTTTAAATCGAGATCACGATTCTGAATAGCCAGCTAAACAATGTCATTTACTAAAGGTTCTGACAATGTTAATTGCTGCAGTCTATTTAAGTGAGTGTAAACAGTTGAGAAAACGCATGCGTGACAGTATAATGGACCCGTGCATCAGGTCTTGGTGACAGCAGCCTAATAAACCTGCTGACAAATCATGAGATATTAAAAATATCTATATGGCAGTTTTTCCACATGGTATCAATGGCAAAATTGTGCTCCGTGAAAATGCTGGGTGGCTAGTAAGTTTGGTAAACCACTGGCTACAGTGACTGGAGAGCAAAACATATGAATACAGTACGGCATTTCTTGAGTTGTTTTTTCACCTTTTAAATGCTCGTACCTGTACAGGTCCAGAGATCAGCTGCCATGAATGAAGCCTTGCAGAAAGAGCTGAAGAGCCTGAGCAGTGAAGAGGCCCAGATGAAGAGGGCGTTTGCCATGAAGCTTGACAAGCAGTCGAAACATCAGATCCGGCGCCAGAAGAAAAAAGAGGTCAAAGATCAGCAGGTCAAAAATATTTATGGGTAAGTAAAAAAAACATCTATAACAAAAGATTTTACCTTTTTTAAAAGATCCTTTTGTATGACACTGCATTTGATAATACACTTCCTGTGCTTAAAGGGATAATTCACCCAAAAATGAAAACTCAGTAATGTAATGTAATTACATTCCCTCATATTGTTCCAACCCCGTAAGACTTTCCTTCATCTTCGGAAGACAAATGAAGATATTTTTTATTAAATCTGAGAGCTGACTCACTCCTCCATAGGCTTCTATTGTTATTTAAACTTGCCGGCCCAGAAAGTTAGTAAAAACATCGTTAAAATAGTCAGAGTGACTCAACCTTAAGTTTATCAAGTGACGAGAATACTTTGTGTGCGCAAAAAAACAAACAAAAATAACAACTTTATTAAACTATTCATGTTCTTCTCTGTGGGCCTCAAGTGAGTTCAGGTAGTGTAACAGCGCAGCGCTTCTGGGCTGTACGTCACGTAGGCTCACTATTGGTCGATGCTGGTCGTGTGTGACGCGTGTGACGTACAACACAGAAGCGCTGCGCTGTTACACTACAGGCACAACCCACGTAAAGCTGATAAATCAGCAAATAACTGCAATTGCAGATTTCGATCAGAGTTGGCGTCAGAGGAAAAGCTACGGACTGCAGCTTTAAGTGAACATTTTTTTTTTTCCCAACATTGTGAACGTTACTTTTGAATGTTCTCGGAACGTTCTGAAACAAGTAGTAATATATATTTTTTTAAATGTTAGAAGAACATCCAACTCAACACTTCAGAAAGAAAGGTTGGATCCATGTGTAAATACTGTTTTTGTGCCAACGTTTTGAGAAAATTATCAAAGACAAGATTAGTATTAACTTAACTGGAAGAACAGTTTTTGTACAGCTATAATAACTGGAAGCCACAACACGGGTGAAAACATGATGTGTGTGTGAACTAGGGCTGGGACAACGCATCGACGTCATCGATGACGTTGACGCAAAATATGCGCGTCGATTCGTCAGACCCAAAACAAAGATGGCGGCGCCGGAGAGTAGTAGCAACGCGAGTGGCTCCTCAGATTTTCAGAAGTGCATGCACTCGTTCCTCTAAAGGTGATGATACACAGGGCAACTTTTTGAGCAATGTTGCCTTCAACGGGCAACCAGATGTGAGACAGGGCCCACGACCGATCTAAATTAAGATAGAAATGTATTGCCCATTTTCAATCGGAAAGTTCCCAATCCCAAGCAACAATCGCTTGGCAAGATTGCCCAGTAACATTGCTCAAAAAGTTGCCCTGTGTATCATCACCTTTAAGTATGGGAAGTCTTTTAATTTAAAAGGAAACAATTCCGTGATATGTTGTCTTTGCAAAATAAAGATGGCCTTCTATTCTAGCACCACTGCAATGCGCCAGCACCTGAAGAGGCGCCACCCGGGAGAAGCTGCCGCAAAAAAAAAACCTTAGATTAATTAGCTGCGCCGTACTTGGTAGCCTTGTCCGCCTAAATTAATTATAAATAAACATAACTAGTAGGCTATTTGCAGTATATTAAATCGCTTTTGACCAAATTATTTTGCACTGAAATGACACACTCGGGTCTGACGGCTCTGACAGCGATGGATGAATCACGTGCACCTGCGCAATATCATAGCCTATGATTTCCGAAAATAGTACTATGTCAACTAGTGATATCATCACAAGAACTGTTGAGGAATATGCGACACCTATCATTTCAGCCGCTCTGTGCATGTCCTCGCACAGAGCGAGGCTGAACATAGGAGCTCAGCTTTGCGGCTGAGACACGAATAGACTATTAGGCTTCGAGGTTTTAGTGAATGCTGCCTCTAAGAATGCATTAATTTGCACTTGTATAGTCTTTTATTTTGGAATTTTAAGAGCAATAAACATATATTGCAATGTTAAGGAATTCATGTTTTTTTCATTCAGATATGTAAATCAACATGTATAAATTGCTATTAGTCAATTAATGGGGAGATATTCGAATCGAAATCGAATCGGACTAAAAAAAAATAATCGTTAGATTAATCGATGCATCGAAAAAAATAATCGCTAGATGAATCGTTTAAAAAATAATTGTTTATCCCAGCCCTAGTGTGAACTGACCCCTCTCAGTGTCATCAACATGGATCCCTCTGTGATCTACAGCATTGGTTCTCGACCTGCGGCCCGTCACCAATGCAAACACGGCCACATTTAAAAAATACAATCGTTTTACAATTTATTTTTGTTCTTAAATTCAATTAAAATGGAAAAAACAAATATAAGTTTGAACTATAAAATAATATAATCATATAATGATTACAAATTTATATATATATTAGTGCTGTCAAACGATTAAAATATTCAATCGCATTAATGTTTGTTAACTCGCGATTAATTGCAATTAATCGCACATTTTTATCTATTCTAAATGTCTCTTTCTTTTTGTCCCATTCTTTTTTCTAAATTTTAATGCTCTTATCAACATGGAAAAGTGGATTGGCTTGCCTTGTGCAAATGTTTTTTTAGTGAAAACAACATTGACAATACTGTTCAATTTCACACTAACATTCTGACTTGGAGCAAATAATCTCTCAATGTAACACTGTCCATCAATAAAAGGGTGAAAGAAATACTGACGAGGTCCTGATATTGACGAGGGGGCGGAGAATTCGCATCAGCTGTGTGTGTGTGTGTGCTTGGCCATAAAGTGGTATTTCAGACTGGACGTGCTGCGATGATGATAGCTCAGTTCGACAAAACACACAGATCACTTTGGTCTTGTCAATGGAACCATTTGGCAACTTTTTAAAGTAAACTTTCCATTCAGAATCTTATTGGCATCCATTTCTGTGTCTCGCGCTCGTCATCCACTCAAAACGTAACGTTAACCAACTATTTGGCCGGCTCGCACATATATATGGGCTTACAAGCCTAAACAAGTGTGTGCGGCGTCGTGTTTTGTTTCCAGTCTAGCTAGATCCGCTTGCGCTTTCAAAACGTCCTCGCTCAGCACAAGCCATTGAAATGAATGGGTTTCATAGCGCAGCGCCGCGCATGCCGCGTCCTGTTGCAAAAGCATGTGGAAAAAAAACTACAAAGTTTGCTAGGCCAAAAAGACTGTTAATCGCGCGATAAAAAAATGAACGCCGTTAAAATGGGTTTGCGTTAACGCCGTTAATAACGCGTTTAACTGACGGCCCTAATGTATGTGTGATTTAATATAAATAATTTTGATGATCAAATATAATATTTTCAGACATGCCCAGACCTACTATGAACTGACACAATTACACAATTAACGAACACGTACAAGTGCACACTTTGGCAGAATTCCAATAGTATCACCAGCCAATATTTTGGTAAATTTATAGATCAAAATGGACAAATTTGTTATTTGTCAAAAGCTCAAGGAAAGTTAGGTTTCTCAGTTCATGACCCCTTTAAAGTGTCCTGATGGCATGTTCTAGTGACACGAGTGCATCACGCTCCTTCTACTCGAGCATCATCACCCTCGGCTCGCTGCTTCTGATGGAGAAACACTCCTCTAATTTTCTCATTTATTTCATTCAGGCAATATGACAAAATCCACCAGAAACGAGAGGAGTTTGTGAAGAAAATGGAAGAAAGCAACCGTGAAACTAAACGGTTCAAGGAAAGGATGCAGGAGCTTAGAGAAAAGTGCAGCCAGCACACCCAGAAAGCCCAGGTGCGTTCATCAGCGCTCGAGTCCGTCTCGTGGTGTTGACTACTGCAGAGCTGACTGTTTGGGGGAACATCCTGTGTTTGTTCTTCATTTAAATGGCATAGTTTTAACATTAAAGGGATAGTTCACCCAAAAATGAAAATTAGCCCATGATTTACTCACCCTGAACCCATCCTAGTGTATATGACTTTAGTGTATATGGCAGTGAATGGCTGTTTCTGTTTGTATGATGGACAGATGCACTTTTATGGACTTCAAACAGAAACAGCCCTTCACTGCCATTATAAAGCTTGGGAGAGCCAGGACATTTTTAATATAACTCAGATTGGGTTCGTCTGAAAGAAGAATGTCATGTGAAATGTGAAAAAGCATCTGCTAAATGAATAAATGTAGATGTCATATACACCTCGGATGACTTGAGAGTGAGTAAATCATGGGCTAGTTTTTTTTTTCGTGTTCAGCGTGTGGTAACGCCTGCTTCTCCTCCGCAGGAGATCTACGAGCGTCTCCTCACCACGCTGGAGCAGTACAACAAGCGCATCGAGGGCATCGTGGTGGACACCAATGCAGACACCCTAAAAATGAAATCGCATTTCTAGAATCCTCTTACACGCATTTCAAGTTCCTGCATTTGTTGAAAGTTTGTCTTGTTTCATTGTAAATGTATATATTTTTGGTTAATTAATTTCCCCCCTCCTTTCAGTGAAGTACAGCTATAATAGAATTATATCTAAATCTTAGGTGGCAAAAAGTGACTTCTAGAGATCGGTGTCGATCTTGAATAAAGCGTTTATTGGGTCCTGCTTTTTCAAACGAAACGTTGAATGAATGAAGATGATTAATCGATGTCTGCCTTCCTGAACCCGAGGCTTTGGTTACGAGCTTCTAGGCATCCGTCAGGTGTTCTGACACTAACACAGGTTAAACTTGGCTCTTCATCAACTCTTGGTTTGGGTTTTGCTGAAACAAACACACAGATGACATGGCCAACTGGACTCCACTGAGAGGCTCTTGATCTGCAGTCAAATGGCCACTAAACCCTCCGGTGCTCTTCAACATTATCAGTGGCTTTCGCACCGGACGATCCTCTTCATCGCTCCTAGAACTATTGGCGGAAGTTCCCGGATGTTGACGCATTCGCACCACAGGAACTAGGAATGATTTTAGTTCTAGGAACTCCTTTTAGATGAACTAATTTACTCCTCCAGAGTCGGTCTAAGCTATAGGAACTACAGTGACGTTAGTGTTCTCTGATTGGCCGAACGCACGCGAAACTCCAGCACCCGCCATTATTAAAAAGCAGTGTAAACACACAGATTATAGCCTATATATTTACTCCAGAAACTAACTCTACGAACATGTAAAACAGTGATAGATGAAGCTCTTAACCTTTACACTGAGGAGAAAACCCAACACAGCTTTGAGGAGACCGAGAGAAACATGATTATGTGTTTCTGCTCAGCAAAACTGGACATCAACACACGGCAAACGCTAATAATAATGCTTTTCAATACTGTCTACTCTCTATGATTAACACTTCTATCTAATGGCGTGTTAGACAGATCGTAAACTAATGAACAGGAGAATGAGAGCACTGTGAGCTCAGACGTTCTCAGCGCCGTCACAGTAAACGTCACGGCAACGAGCGAGTCTTACGTCACTCAGAGTTCCTGAAGAGCGAACACAACCAGGAAACGCTCCTAGAGGAACCATTAGTTCTCGGGGAACCACACTGGAGGATGGTTCCTATAACCAGAGAATGTCTAATAGGAGAGAACTGGCACTCTCTGGTTACTTCCGGTTTCTGAACTGGCAGCAGTAACACGTCTCTGTCCATGCGGGGGCGCTCGCGGGTGAGTGCAGAATGAATGGGAGTCTATGGGTTTTTTTTTTTTGGTTTTTTTTTTATTTTTATTTTATTACAGGGACAGTGCATATTAATAAACATTTCTGCCAATATGCCAGAGTTAGCCAGAAGGCTATTTTTCATCTGCAGTCCCCGGACAGATGTTAAAAGTCACCCTAAAAGAGAATAAATTACATATAAAAAGCACAATAAAAATAAAAATTGTACAATACATTTAGTAAAAAGTCTTATTATGTTAAAAAATACAGTCGAAATACAGCAATACCAAAACTCAAACAAACATCTGACAGAGACATAACATACACACACAAAAGGCAAGAAGCCTAGAGAAATGTGTTAATGTTGACAGCTCTGAAATTCAAGAAGCCATTTCTTTAAATGGTTCTTAAATGTACAATAACTGTTTAGATTTCTGATGGCTAAAGGAATGCGGTCCCCCAGAAATCCACTTTTCTCAGGATGTAATTTTTTGTCAAGTAATTTGAAAGTTGCATTCAAAAGGGAAGGCTAAGATAATACACTCAGCTGAAAATTGCATTTTTAAGTTCACTTATCTGTTCTAAAAATCCGTTCAAAAATGTGATGACGTCACATAATAGCAGAATGCTAGCGTGTTCCGGCCAACCCATGGCCTAACCTGTAAGAAATCGAAAGGACATAAGTACTCGTTCATTCGACTTTTGGCCTATAATCTATATTGAACTTGCGGAATCAACAATAAAATCTATGTTGATTCAATGACAAGCAGGAGAAAGAGGTACGTTTAGCCGTTTAGCTCCATAGACTCCCATTCATTCTGCACTCGCCCGCGATCACCTCCAGTGGAATTCTAATGGAACTGCAACCAACATGATAGACAATGGGGCTAATAGGAAGTGCCAAGGCTCTCCGTTAGACGGGCTCTGCTATAACTGAGTTCCTAGAGCTATCCGGTGCGGAAGCCCCTGTTGACCGAAGAATTATACGGTTTGTTTTTTGTGGAATTCTTTTACTTCATGGGAATGGTACGAAACTTGGTTTTGGCACTTGCTATGTGAACACACACACACACACACACAATATGATTGGCATCATGGAAGGTTAAATGGTCCTGAAAAAAGTCACACTTGTATTGTTTGTGGTCAAAATTGGAAATGAATGAGAGCGTTTCCTCTAGTGGAAGCGTTCGGTACTGCGAACGACATCTCACTGAACGCTCATCTTTATGAGATATTAAAAGACTGATTAAGCTCAAATTTGTAACACAACTTGTTTAGATTTGTGGCTTTGATCTTGCAGTTCTAGAGTAAAACATGTTTTTGAAAATATAAATTTAATATAATTTTTTTTTTTTTTAAATGTGCATTTTTCATGACAATAAACGTAAAACTGTAACTTTTAAGTTCACTTTTTAACACTTCTCTCACTTCAGCAATACTCTGCCACGTGTCGTCTTTAAAAAGAGATCAACTGAAGTCTGTGCTTTAAGGCATTCGAGATTTACCACATTTTTATTTCCAGGTCTATAAAAGTGAATGAATGGATTATAAATACAGTGTAAATATAATTTCGTACCATAAAATCAACCAAAAATATTAAATACAAAACACTGTCGAACCAAAATAGTACATTCACCTTCATTGAATAGAAAAGGCTGTGATTTTTGACCGACACGTGAAGCACCAGAGGGTTAAGAAAATAAACAAATGATGTTCTTCGTTATGACTGTTGATCGATGGCACATATATTACTGATATTATCCAAAGCAATCGTTTACTCTTACTGGATTAAATCGTGTTGATTGATTGAATGGAACTGCCATTGACTTACAATAATAGCTTAATGGAAACTGAATAGCGTTTGAAAAATCGCATTCTGTTGAATGGTGTTTATCTCACGGCAAAACAGCCTTTTATTGGACTGTCAGATTACAGAAATAATAAATCAATGCTAAAACAGATGTAGTTTAATCTGTCTGGTTTAGTTGGTGTGCTCGTGCGACAAACGCCAGCCGAAAAGATGCGCGCGCATCTCTGAATGCGAATGGAATAAAAGTGTGTTTGAATCATGCCACGGTTGGATATCTTGTTATGCAAGTTACAACCTATATGTCTAGGTTGGTTAAGCGTCCAAATATTTTTGGAGGCCACTTTATTGAATTGACTCCAACATCCAGAAGATGCTATACTCGTTCTGTCCAGTAGGTGGAAACAGTATACTGTCCAGTGCAAAAGTTTCTGCACTTTAATCTGAGACGTGCATATATCAGTTCTCAGAAATGGCCTGTAGCCTACTTTATACACATGACATTTCAATCACTTGATCAGATCGTTTCAGATAATAGGCCTAGCCTAAATTAAATATACATGTGTCTTTTATCTGACTTGTGTCTTTGGTGCATTTTTAAGCTGATTATTACACATACGAAATATTGAGTGTTTGTGAATACTTAATGCGTAAATATTCATTATGCTTTCCATTTGTTCATAATAGTATTTTGGTCTTGGCAACCGTGTAGGTTGTTTATCAAGGATTATCGCGGATACAGCGTAGGCTATATGGGAACTCCAGCAGCAGATAGACATTATTGGTGCCTGCGATAAAAGGGAAGGGCCCCTGGCAGGGAACGTCGCCAAATGTTTAGATTGCACCATATAGCGTACATATATGTGTATATTTATACATATACACCTCACACAGAGGAAGACGGACGGGGGTTTAAAGGGTCTGCTTTTCTAAGTGGGTTTCGGACATCAACACAAATATATCACCAGGCCCAAACACAAATCTTTGGCGCAAAGGTCATTTAGTGTTGAGTCATTTGTAGATGTTTCCTATAGAGTGGGGGAAGGCAGCCCCATTGATTCAGAGGTTTGGAATTTGCATCTGATTGCTGTTTGTCAACCAATGGTTTGCCTCTCCGACCGCGGGGCACCGCCTCAGATTAGACGCACATATGATGTTACTGCCAAATTAACCTCTATATCGAAATCAAACGAGGAAGAGAGAGGTGATTTAGAAAGAGCACAGTCCATATTGTTTCTATACGCTCTCGGGTGTTCGTGACTGTGATTAAATATTGACTAAGAGAGCGTCGCGAGCGTGTTGTTTTTACGGGCAAATCAGGAATGCTCCTTCCGCTTCCCAAGAAAAAAACTAAACGGAAGTCAAACTGGTAAGTGAAGTGTCTTTTTCCCCTCAGCACACATCCACATTTTCCTGTTTGTGTCGGCTATATGGGAAATACAGTACCTCTCTGGCATATAATCACACTTAAGAACGTTTAATGAGTTTTATTTTCTGTCTTTTGTTGTTTAAAGCTCATCTGATGATGTGTTTGTTTGGTATTAATGAGAGTAGAGTTGGTTATAGCCTAGTGTATGTTACTGTCATCAGAATTAACAACACACGAAACAAACACATAGGGTAACTGCCACCAGACAAGACACGAGATTTATATGAGTGTAAATCCCCGGATTTGTATTAATTTATTTACTATTTCAACTTCTTGGATGCCGTTTTGATGAGGAAAGTAATGGTTTAATGACTTTTTTTTTTATCCGAGTCGATTATCTGTGATCTTGTGGATGTGGAAGTAGTATATTGATTTTCTTTTTAATTAAAATGTGCTTTTAAATGCTAAACAAATAGTTTTATAAACCGAATTGATTCATATGCTCTGAACAATATTATACAAGACAAACATTAATTGGCTATTGTTAATTCTTAAGTGCCTAATAATCGCATCTATTATTCTTTATTTTGTATTTCTGCTTTAATGTTGACTCAATAATAAATAAATTCATTAGACTAGTAATATTGTTGGGAATTATTTGTTCCTAATAACAATGATTAATATGAATCCCCTTCTATTCCATTCTAAAGTTGTTTTGCATTCTAAATGTGTTTTTTAAGGTTATGTCTAAATGTTAAATATGAAATGTTACACTTTGCTCACTTCAGAATTGTCTTTAAGGTTGAATAATTCTGCAATTTACAATAAATGACAAAAGGAAATGCTAGAGCACACAGTAGTAAAATAGTTGGCTGCTGTTTTTAGAAACCCATCAACATTTATCAATAGAACTGATAGTAAATCATTTATATCAGAAAAAGGGTCTGTATTATATGTAAAGAATATTGAACCGGTTGTTGTTTATCTCTTACTTATTTATGAAATATAATGTATATTGGATCATATATAACCTGCTTAGGCTATATATGTTCACTCTTTATAATATTGGTGAGATATGACTTGTATCTGAATTGAGCATTATCTCAGTATGCAATAATGGATTTAGGTCTCTCGTTGGGTTTTTGTTTTGTTTGTTTATTGCATAAACACCTCCCAAGAGTAAACCAAACCTTTTTTTAAATAGTCTTGTCGGAAATGTGGGGTAAGACTGATTTGATTTCTTTCTGTCCATTTCTAATAAGCTCTTTAAGTCTGCACAGAGCAGATTTCTTCAGCCTTAATTAGATTGCTGTTCCACATAAACAGAAATGCCCATTTGCATGTGTAGACTACGCATGGCTTCATCACACACTGACTGTACTGAAACTCTACACGCACTTGTGCACAGTCCGAATTTTTTTTAAATATTTGCAGCAGCTGAAAACGATATTTAATCCGTTATCCACTTATACTAATCTTGATATAGGTGATTTAGAGGGAAAATATTTTTATCAAAGGCAATAGTCATTTGTAAAAATGAACTCCTCAATGCACAATGTTTACATTTTATATCAATTTCTATAATTAATCTTGGACAAGACAAGAGATCCTTGTACACTAGTTGACTCCAATGAAACCACAGAATTTGATTCTGGACTGATAAATGAGAAGTGTGTGTTGGATTTTTACCAATGTTTGGGCACTCAAAAGTGCAACAGAAGTGAAAGTGCATGTTACAGTCAGTTGTCTGTATGTTGTTTGTGGCATTGCATTTCAAGCTTTGGACAAATTGGAAAACTTTTCAATTTGAAAAGGGGGTGTTTTTATCTCTTACACTGTTATACATGATGTTATATATTATTATTATTTTTCCTTTGGAATAACTAATAGTGTTTGTATGCTGGCGGGTGCTTTTAGGCACTCTCACGTCACGTATTGGTTTGAGAGAGAGGATTCGTTTTAAAGACGTGTTCAGTGATACACTAGCTGAGGCTATAGAGATGGTATTGTCTTAAACTTGTTCACAGTGAAGATGAATGTCTCGTGAATTTCTAATAATGTGGTTCAGTTTTCGCTGTGCCAGCCAGCCAGACGACGTGATTCTACATTAGCAAACGCAACCCATCCTGTGGCAACATTAGAGACAGTTGTAACAGCGTAAAGAGTCTATTTGTCTGTACATTTGCATGACACACATAAGGGTATATTTTATAAAGACGACAGTAAAACAAACAGAAGGGACGGCACCAGGAGAGGAACTTGTTAGTCGTTTGGCGCGTTTCGCACGACATGTTGGAAATTTCATGATACAATTCAAAATTTTATTCTAATTCCTTATCGCACCTTTCTTCAGCGTTACGTTTATATGCAAGTACAACAAATACTAAATCTTATCAGTCACTATTGTGTGCACTACATATCCTATGCATCTCGGGGTGTTGGTTACCTGCATATGTGATGTTTAGTAAGTCCTTTGGTTGTTTGTGTGAAATAATTGGGTGTGGGCCGGGGTTTGAACTGATAAGATGAGGTATACACAGGAATGAGGCCCTGCATCCTGTCACACTTGTGATCACAATGAAGCAACCATATCAGCCGTCATCTTATATGCAGGTTTTTAGGTTGGCAAACTCTGCTCTGAGCTGGCCAAACTGGTTTCAGCTTAGCGTGTTACTAGGTAGTGTTGAGAGGGATCAGATATCTAGTGTCGCAGCTCAAGGAAGGAACTGCTCTGTTTTTAGATGAATCCATATGCGTGTCTCGGTGTGCCATTTTAGCACAGGGCTGTTGGGCAACACTTTACACAAGTGAAACAGAAAGCACCATTGAAACAAACAAACCGTGAGATAAGAAAACAAGTTGGCGTTATATGCGTCACATCATGATACAAATCCCCCTTTTTGGAACTTTGTGTGCTGCGTTCAGACACACACTGCCTTAAATCTATTAGATGTGCATATAAAAAGACAGAGTTCATTGCTTTTGAATACCATTCTGAGTGTTGGGAGGAGGTTGTGTGGACTCCATTGAGTGGCTTGGCTCGGGTTCAAACTGTGCTTTTGCCAAAAGCCACATATTAAAAACGTTTCTGTGGTGCGCTGCTGTTCACCTCAAGCACCTGCCAAAAAAAGTGATGATTTCACTGTTTGGGACTTGGGAGTGTGCCATAAGGGAATCCCAGCCAGCTGATCTTCGGTTTTCTTTCTGCAGAGAAACTCGGGAGAGATGTTTCTGTGTCTGTAACAGAAACTGCCTCCTTCGAACCTGTGGTCTGCAGCGTTTTTGGCCATTGTCAGATTTGGTTAACAAACGATTCTTCTGTATTAAGGCTGGCAGTTTGCCATCATAGTTGCACGCAAACCAAATCAACAGACTTGATTTGCTGAATTACAGCATTAATCATTCTGACTCTTTTGTCATTGACTGAAAAGACTCGTTTTTTTAGGTTATAATACAAAGCAAAACACATACCCTCTACTCACAACGCAGTCCTTATGAAACTACCAACTGACTCGTTCTGCCAGTTTATTTCCATCAGGTAAAGTTTACAGGCTAATACTGATGGAAAATTGGCAGTTCTAACCTAGCCCAACTTCCTCCTGAATACTAAATCATGCACATCCAAATGCATGTTTGCTCATAAAAGTTGAAAATTGGAAGTATTGTGCTATTGTCTACAAAGCTGTCTTTCTCTCTGAGCTCTGTTATTGATGGGGGGGAGGGGTCATAAAGAGTTAAAGAACAACAACCGCATGCATTCACATGAAGAATCTGGAATGCAAAGATGACAATTTACCAAAATGCCGCTATAGACTCGAACAGTGTTGTTGTATGGTGATTTCAGTCACAGCTAGCAAAAGAATGATAGTAATATAATGAGATGCACTTCAATGATACATAATGAAATATGTTTTTTTATTTTGTATCTTATGTAAAAAAAAAAAATTCTCTTATAAAGCGCATTTATAACTTTAATATAAAGATTATAAAATATAAAAATTTAATTGTTTTAAACATCTCTTCTAATTAAATGTTATTCATTTATATTAGGGCTGCACGATTTGGGGATAACGTCATATTGCGTTTATTGAGGTCAATAATGCGATTGTTTGTGATATAATAAACAAATGGTGGCTTAGTTCTCAAGGAAAATGGACACACAGATTAGTGATAATGCTGATATGTGTATTTCTCAACTCAGTGTTTTCAAATTAAAATAATATTTTTCACTAAATTCTTTGCATTACTGTAAACTTGTTATTGTCTCAATAGTACAATAAAAAAAGAGCAATAAATAATTAAGAACATTTGTATGCTCATGAAAATAAGATATTTGGAACATTCTGTCCAGACAAACGGGGACATTTAAGCAGGATGTGTATTGTCATTGTCAAAACATTTGGTAACTAAACAGAAGTTTAAGTTTAGTGACAATGTTACAATGTTTACATGACTGGTAGGCTACTGTTTTTATTATTGCTTGATCTTATGATTTGATTCTGATCTTGATTCAATATCGATTCATTTGGATAAATATTAGGTACAGTAGATGCATGTTAATTTTTCCAAAGAAAACAAATCTCTCACCTAATGCTCTAAACATACAGAGAGCCCTGTCTGCTGGTATTATTATTAAAGGGTAAAAATAACAACTCTAAATATAATTAGTTTTTTAATAGGCTATAATAAGAACGTTACAATATTTTAATGATATAAGTACAAATATAATAAATATTTAATATAGTGCACTGGCCACCAGTTCAGTGTCCGTCTGCTCGGCATCATCTTCACCTGTTCACCTCATCTTCATACGTCGTGCCACTGCCTAAACTGAAACTAACTGGTCTTCTTTTTATTAGCGGTGTAGAAAACGGGCTAACAGCTCTAAGAGAAAATGGGTTGTCATGTCCACACATGCATTTATTTATTTATTTAATAAAATCGCAGCATTTTGCGTCATATAATCGCATAGGCTTGACATCGCGAATGCAATATGATTT